CCATTCACTAGCTGTGCAACCTTTGGTAATTACTTCTCCTTGCTTAACTTTTTTCATCTGCAAATGGATATAAAATAGAATCTAATTCATAAGGTATGTTCACAGGGTTGTGAAGATTTAACAAGTTAATATACCTAGGGGCACCTGGGTGGCTCAGTTGGTTAAATGTCCAACTCTTGATTTTGGCTTAGGTCATGACTGCAGGAATATGAGATCGAGCCCTACGTCAGGCTCTGCACTGGGCATGGAACATGCTCAGAATTCTCTCTCACCCTTTCCCCCTGTCCCTCCCCCCTCAAAACAACAACAACAACAGGTTAATATATGTAAAGCACTATGCAAGCACAAGCGTTAACTATAATTTCTGAAAAAAAAAAAAAAAGAAAAAACCCAAAACGTATAGTATGTACATGTATATGTGGGGAAGAAAAGCTTTCATTTTTTGCATTTTTTTAAAGTTTATATATATATATATATATTTTTAGTAATCTCTATACCCAACATGGGGCTCGAACTCACAACCCTGTGATAAAGAGTCACATGCTCTTCTGACTGAGTGAGCCAGGCACCCCTTTTCTGCATTGTTTTCAGGTTTGTTTGTTTAATTATTATATATGATGTTAATCACCATACATTACATCCTTAAGTTTCTGATGTAGTGTTCCATGATTCATTGTTTGCGTATAACACCCAGTGCTCCAGTTTTTTGGGTTTTTTAAGATTTATTTATTTTAGAGACAGAGCACACACATGAGCAAGTGGGGGGTAGGGGCAGAAGGAGAGGGAGAGAGAATCCCAAGTTGACTTCATGCTGAGCACGGAACCCAATGCAGGGCTTGATCCCACAACCCCAAGATCACAACCTGAGCCAAAATTGAGTTGGATGCTTAACTGACTGTGCCACTCAGGTGCCCCTTAAGTTTTGTGGGGGTTTTTTTGTTTTGTTTTGCTTTGTTTTAAGATTTTATTTGAGAGAGAGAGAGAGAGAGCATGCATACGAGCAGGAGGGAGGGGCAGATAGAGAGGGAGAAAGAGACTCCCCTCTGAGCAGGGAGCCCAATGCGGGGCTCCTTCCCAGGACCCTGAGATCATGACCTGGGCTGAAGGCAGATGCTTAACCAACTGAGCCACCCAGGCACCTAGTTGTTGTTGTTGTTGTTGTTTTTAAATAAAGAACATTACTTTAGTAATTTAAAAAAATGAGAACATAATAAAAACTTGGCACTAAGACCCCCCCCATGCTGAAAGATTTGCTAGTGCAATTACTTAAACACTCAGGACCAGACAAATTCTGTGAATAACTATATATTAAAACTGTGAAAGTTTTCAAGTGCAACAAAAAGGACAGTACTTCTGGACACAGTTCAACAATAACAAGCTACACACCAATAAGCAGAACTACAACGGCTTTAAAATTACGTCCTTTGATTTCCCAGAAGCAATAAATTATACAAAAATATGCACCCAATCTAGAAATGGGTATCAGGAACTTTCACAATTAGATAAATCTCCATTAATTTTATTAGTCTGAAATTAAATACCACCAAATCTAATTTCCTATTCAATAATCTCTAATGAAAACTCACTAAGACATACATAAACCTGGAGTTCAAGATAAACCAAATGATTTTTTAAAAACCTAAAATCCTTAGAACCCTTTGAGAATTTTTGAGAGGAAGATTTCACCACCTCACATGCTTTGAGGAAGCTTTGGTCCCTTGGATAAACGTAGCTTCCTCCATAAATACAGTGAGTGTATAAAACAACCAGAGAAGAGCAGAAAGAACTTCAAGCTTCAGCTGCATTTTTTGCTGAACTGTAATACTGGTAAAACCTGTTTCAAGATCCAAGAGTCCACCCTAAAAATTAGGGAAGGTATATAAACAGCAGGCTGTCATGTTCATTTTATCACATTTACCAGAATGGTATCTCATAAAATTATAAATATGATCAAACTTCAAGGAGCATTATTATCATTGAAGGAAACTCCTTTATTTATAAATAAATAGCAAATAAATCTAATTAAACAGCTTTTCAAAAAGAAATCAATCATTAAGATGCCTCCATAGAATTATGAAATTCCTAATTTTAACTAGTTTAATGCCTACAAAAAAAGAAAGAACTCAAAAATGCTAGTTATTGTTATCATTAATGATGGAACAGAAACTTACTCATAAGGAGGTTTAACAGGTCACTTTTCACAGAATCCAAGTTGGCCCATTACAACCTTGAATAGTTAAGATATTAAAAAGAGGACTCAAAGACTCCTTGGGTTCTAAAGGAGGTACTAAAGATGAAATAATTCTGCAAAAAGAATTCACCTAGTCTTTCCTAAGCTTTTCAATACAGAAATCTGTATTTGTAAACTTTTTGCAATTCTGCCTTGTGACTTTTAGACCTAATGTATTTTTGTCAGGTAGTAATGATTTACAAATAAGGGAAATAAAATCAATAGATGGGGTCAGAGTTTTGTATTAGAAAATGAAAGGAGACAGTTTAGAATGGGTTAAAAATAGATGCATTTAGGGGCGCCTGGGTGGCTCAGTTGGTCAACTGTCTGCCTTCAGCTCAAGTCATGATCCCAGGGCCCTGGGATCAAACCCTGCACTGGGCTCTCTGCTCAGTGGGGAGTCTGCTTCTCCCTTTCTCTCTCCTTCTGCCTCTCCCCCTGCTCACGCCCATTCTCTCTCTCTCTCCCAAATAAATAAAATCTTAAAAAACAAAAGATGAGTTTAGCCTAAGTCCTAAAAACTTTAAAAATACATGTATTTGGATAAAATTAAGACTGCTTAGGAAGATAATTTGACTCTGATTCTGTAAAAAGAAAAATAGGCTAATATCCCTTGATTAATTCTTTTGTTCTTTAAATTTTCCAATTTTAATCCTTTCAAAGATTCACATAAAATAAACTGGAAACATAAATTAGTAAGTAAAAAAATAAGGAAGAACTGAACATGTTTGACGACATGCTTCCCACTAGTGTCTAGCGTGGGTGTACTGGCATTATAAGGGAGCAAGACCAAGCAAGCATCTTTTCGGACAGAAACATTAATGAGCAGACATCTTGCCTGCTTTTACAGTTACAACAGTAGACTTAAAGCCTTATATTTTAAAAACAGCATACAAAAAAGGTGTATACAGAGATAATTTTGGTTTGAGATATATATACATATATATATACACACACACATATATATACAATTACACTGTCAGCGTTAAGCTATTTTTCCTTTAAACATTTGCTTAACCATTCATTTATATATATTAAATACAACCACCTGAAGTATCAACAAATATTCACTTCTGACTTTTGCATTGCAGAGTTCAAAACTGGGTTTTGGGGGTACCTGGCTGGCTCAGTTGGAAGACCATGCAATTCCTGATCTCAAGATCTTAAGTTTGAGCCCCACACTGGGTGTACAGATATAAATAAACTTAAAAACACACACACACACACACACACACACACACACAAAACCTGGGTTTCAGCTTAGAAACAATGAAAAACTGCCCTACTGAAAATGTTTTTACAAAATCATAATACATATTGAAAAATATTCCAAAAAATGAGAAATATATAGGTAAGTATAAAGAAAGAATTTTTTTTTAAGATTTTATTTATTTATTTGACAGAGAAAGAGACAGCGAGAGAGGGAACATAAGCAGGGGGAGTGGGAGAGGGAGAAGCAGGTGTCCCGCGGAGCAGGGAGCCTGATGCAGAGCTTGATCCCAGGACCCTGGGATCATGACCTGAGCCGAAGGCAGACGCTTAACGACTGAGCCACCCAGGTGCTCAAGAAATTTTTTTTTTAAAGATTTGATTTATTTATTTGACAGAGACAGAGACAGAGACAGCAAGAGAGGGAACACAAGGGCGCCTGGGTGGCTCAGTTGGTTGGGCGACTGCCTTCGGCTCGGGTCATGATCCTGGAGTCCCGGGATCGAGTCCCGCATCGGGCTCCCTGCTCGGCGGGGAGTCTGCTTCTCCCTCTGACTCTCTTCCCTCTCGTGCTCTCTGTCTCTCATTCTCTCTCTCTCAAATAAACAAATAAAATCTTTAAAAAAAAAAAAAAGAGGGAACACAAGCAGAGGGGAGTGGGAGAGAGAGAAGCAGGCTCCCCACTGAGCAGGGAGCCCGATGCGGGGCTTAATCCCAGGACCCTGGGATCATGACCTGAGCTGAAGGCAGACACTTAACCGACTGAGCCACCCAGGTGTCCCTAAAGAAAGAAATTTTAATTACCTATAATTTAAAAACAAGAGGGACGCCTGGCTGGCTCAGTCTGTAGACCACGCAACTCTGGATCTTAGGGCTGTGAATTCGAGCCCCACACTGGGTATGAAGCCTACTTAAAATTTTAAAAGAAATAACAAAAACAAAAAATAAAAACAAGAAATCAAATAGCTCGGTGCCCAAAGCCTCTTCTAAAATGTGTACATGAGGGCGCCTGCGTGGCTCAGTTGGTTAAGCAACTGCCTTCGGCTCAGGTCATGATCCTGGAGTCCCAGGATCGAGTCCCACATTGGGATCCCTGCTCAGCGGGGAGTCTGCTTTACCCTCTGACTCTCCCCCCTCTCATGCTCTCTCTCTTCCATTCTCTCTCTCTCAAATAAATAAAATCTTTTAAAAAATATATAAATAAATAAATAAAATGTGTACATGATATAGAAATTATTGATCCTAGTTCCTTTAAAAATGAAAATACCTTGATTAGGATTATTTAAGGAGCAAAAGCTACAAATAATTCTATGCAAACACAAGTTTGGGTGGTTCAGATATAAAAAAATACATAATTGAAATTCTCCATGACTATGAAAAGATTAACTCCAGAGAAGGAATTATATGTAGCAAAAAAGACAGAAGTTGAAGAGGAAAAAAAATTAACCATTTGAGAAATTTTTTTCAAGTACTAGTCTTTCCACAGCAAGTAACAGAGATTCCACTTATATCAGCCTTTTACAAAAAATAAAATTAAATTAAAAAATAAATCATACTTTACCTTGCAGAATCCTAGAGTAATGTGTAACCAACTCTGTCCAATAAAATCCTAAAAAAAATTAAAAAAAATTTTTAAATAAACTGAAATGTCTTATTATTAGAAATATATCCACTTACCCTCTTCAATTTTCTACAATAATTAGGGGTAATTTTTCCAAATGCCATTATGAGGCAGCAACACCTTGTAAGGTGGGAAGCACTCTATGCTATCACTGGAAAGCAGCTCACAAACTCACAGTGGAGCCAACTGGGTGAAGTGAGAAGTGACAGCATTGTGATAGTGGCCAAGAAGGCACCAGAAGACTAAGGCTTGTTTTAAAGTCAGGGATGTGGTACCAAGGTGGAAAAGAGTTAAAGATTGAGAGCTGAAGTACCAAAAGATAACTAGCAATTACTAAACGAAAGCCACATTCCTGATGCTTTTCATCAATCCTATCACCCCCGCTTTACAGATGAGGAATCAGGTTTAGAAAAGTCAAACAACTTACTGCCTAACCACTCAGCTATCATGCAGCAGAGAATTCAAAACTAGATTTGTCTGACTTCAGCCCACACTCTTCATTTCCCCATGCTGCCTCTCTGGCTCTTCTTCAGAATATTGACTTCAGGTTCCCTGTGAGCAATTTCACTGTAGTGAGCACTAGGAAGGGAGTGATACACCTGCAGGCAAATGATCACATACTATCACCTGGGTAGCCTCAATTTTTCAGTATTTCTTCATCTCAAGCTACCTTTACAATCTTTCCTACCATTTTTCCATTTCACAGACCTAACACACTAGCCAGAAAAAAAAAAAAAGAAAAGTAAAAAGACTTGGATATTCTAATTTACAAATTCTTCTTCGTGCTTCAGCTTATTCCTTCACCGGGAGCCCTTCTCCAATAGCCCTATAGCCAATTACATCTGTGCTTTTCAATCCAGTTCAAATGTCATCGCCTTCATACAGCATTCTCTGATCTTCCACTCTCCCATTCAGTGGTAGTATCTCCAATCTAAATCTTCTTTACCCTTTATACTGGTACTTCTATAAACAACTCATGAGTCTGATTAAGTTTTAAAATAATCACTTCAGGGGCACATGGGTGGCACAGTCGGTTAAGCCTCAGACTCTTGGTTTTGGTGCAGGTCATGGTCTCAGGGTTGTGAGATCGAGCCCCATGAATGTGTGGTGGTTTTGGTTTGAGCCTGCTGAGTTGGAATCCTACCTTCCACAGACTGTGGGACTTTGGCAAGTTACTTAACCTCTATGTGCTTCAGTTTCTTCTTTAAATAGGACCTACTACGTAGGGTAGTTGTGAGGATTTTATACGTCAGTGAAAGTAAAGCATCTAGCATGGTGCCAGCGGGGAGTGCCGCTGAGCAGGGAGCCCGATGTGGGACATCCTGCAGGAGCAGAATGCCTATTAGCCAGATACAGAATATGTGTCCCTTCAGCTACTGAAATGTAGCAGAACAAGTTACTTTTTTTTTATTTTATTTATTTTAGAAAGAGAGAGGGAGGGCGCCTGGTGGCTCAGTCGTTAAGCATCTGCCTTCAGCTCAGGTCATGATCCCAGGGTCCTGGGATCGAGCCCCACATCGGGCTCCCTGCTCCCCAGGAAGCCCGCTTCTCCCAACTCCCCCTGCTTGTGTTCCCGCTTTCGCTGTGTCTCTCTCTGTCAAATAAATAAAATCTTAAAAAAAAAAAAAAAAAGAAGAAGAAGAAGGAGAGAGGGAGTGGGGAGAGGCAGAAGGGGAGGGAGAGGGAGAAAGAATCTGAAGCAGACTCAGCACTGAGCACAGAGCTCAACACTGTGAGGTCACGACCTGAGCTGAAACCAAGAGTTCGATGCATAACCAACTGAGCCACTCAGGTGCCCCAGAACAAGTTACTTTATGGATTGAATGCCCTGTGCACAGTGGTACACAAATATTTATTAGTGCTCTGCTAAACAATTTCACATTAGACTCTGAAACTTTGATATTTTGATATAAAAATATTTGATGTGTTTGATATTTTGATATGGAAGATAGGTTGAAGAGTGTGAACTGAGAAATGAATAAATATATAAGTATAAAATTCTGGGTATAGCCCCAACACATATTGCATGTATTATTACTCTGTGTGCAGGTTTAGAAGTCTAGTGTCTTAAACCAGTGCTGGTGTTTTTTAAAGATTTATTTATTTGAGAGAGAGAGAGCACACATGTGGCGGGGGCGGGAGCAGAGGGAGAGGGAGAGAGAAACTCAAGCAGACTCCATGCCGAGCATGAGCCCATCACTCAGCTGCATCTCCTAACCCTGGTACCATGACCTGAACCAAAACAAAGAGACACTTAACGAATTGCGCCATCCAGGTGCCCCTTAAACCAGTGCTGTTTAAAACAAACATAACGTGGGGCGCCTGGGTGCTTCAGTCGTTAAGTGTCTGCCTTCGGCTCAGGTCGTGATCCCAGGGTCCTGGGATCGAGCCCCATATCGGGCTCCATGCTCAGCGGGGGGTCTGCTTCTTCTTCTCCCTCTGCCACCTCCCCACTGCTTACATTCTGTCTCTGTCTCTAATAAATAAATCTTTTAAAAAGGGGAAAAAAGATTTTTTTACATTAAAAAAAATAAAAGAAGGGGGCGCCTGGGTGGCTTGGTTGGTTGAGCGTTTAACTCTTGATTTTGGCTTAGGTATTGATCTCGGGGTTGTGGGATCAAGCCCCATGTTGGGCTCCATGCTTAGCAGGAAGTCTGCTTGAGATTCTCTCCCTCTGCCCTTCCTCCTGCTCACACAAGTGCATGCTCTCTCTCTCTAAAATAAATAATCTTTTTTTTCTTAGATTTTATTTATTTATTTGACAGAGAGAGACACAGCGAGAGAGGGAACACAAGCAGGGGGAGCGGGAGAGGGAGAAGCAGGCCTCTCGCAGAACAGGGAGCCCAATGGAGGGCTCGAGCCCAGGACCCTGGAATCATGACCTGAGCCAAAGGCAGACACTTAATGACCGAGCCACCCAGGTGCCCCTAAAATAAATAAATAAATCTTTAAAAAAATAAAATAAAATAATCACTTCACTGATCCCTTATTAATTACAAAGGAAAAAGGGTGCCTTTACAATATAAATCCAGTAGATACTACTTTATTCAAATGATCAAATTTATATCAATAATGAAACTGACATCTGGTGCCTCTGATGGGATACACTGAGACCTAAAATCAACTACACAGCATTCCAACCAAAAATGTTTAACCTGAGTCTGATCATGCAGAAACATTCAGACAAATCCAAATTGAGGGGCATCCTACAAAACAACTGGTCTGGATACCTACAGTCATGAGAGACACCCTCTGCCCCGCCCCCTCCAAAAGGCTGGAAAACCCATCCAGATTCAAGCAGGCAACTAAATGCAATGCAAGCTCCTTAAATGAATCTTGGGTCAAACACAAAACCAAATATCTAAGGACAGTATTGGGACAACTGGGGAAATTTGAATAGGTACTCTACGTTAAAAAATAATATTATATCCATGTTAAATTTCTTGAGGGTGACAACTGAATTGCAAATATGTAGAAGAAAGTGTTTGTTCTTGGGAAATACATACCCGTATTTAGAGAGTAAAGTGTCCTGATGGTATCTATACCTAACTCCCATATGGTGCAGCAAAAAATGGGTCTACTAGTGCATAAAGCAAGCAAAGCAAAATGTTAACAACTATGGAATCTAAATGAGAAGTACAAAGGTATTATTATACTACTGTTGCAACTCTTCTGTAGGCTTACAATTTTTCAAAGAGTTGGGAAACAATACTTAAAAGTTATGGAGGGGGGTAGGGTGCCTGGCTGGCTCAGTCACAGGAGCATGCAACTCCTGATCTCAGGGTCGAGAGTTCAAGCCCCACGTGGGTGTAGAAATTACTTAAAAAAAAAAGTTATGGATTCAAAACAACAAAATCAACAGAAAATAGGGAAAGGTGCAAAGATGACTTAGCACTTGTATTCTGCCTTCCAGAATTAACTGTTAACATCATCATAGTTGCTTTTAGTCTTTAAAGAAAACTTATGGTATCATCCCCTTTGCACCACCTTCACCCATTCTTATTGCCCTCCAGAAGTTGTGAAATTATGAGGCAGGGTATGCCCATTTTCAACTTTACTAAATAACTGCAAATGTTGTCCCTCAAGGCAGCTGTACCAATTTAAACTCCTACATCGTTTAGAATTTGTCCTACATAGAAACTGTCCCACAGCAGTTTCTAAATTACCATTTTCAGAGACATCTTCACTAACTTTGATACTGTCAGACATTAAAATTTTTTTATCAATCTGATGTGAAAAATTCAGTGTCATTTATACCAACCTAGGATCACAAAGTAAAAGAATCTTAGCAAAATAAGAACTTCATCTACAAACCCTTCCTTTTATCACAACATTATAGAACACTCAGGATAATCAAACCTACATGGCAGCAAGTACTAAGAATAATCAGTCCCCACATGAAACCAAATGGCCATGAAAGCACTGCATATGCTTGGGAAATAACCTGTCTTTTAAAAAACGTAAGATGAAAAGGTTCAAATTCAACCCAGCAAACATAATACTATTTGTAAGATTTTAAAAATAGATATTTTATTACTAGAAATAAGTAACCTAGCTCTTATAAATTAACTCATTTACTCATTCATCAAGTATTTACTGAGTACCTGTTATGTGCCAGCCACTATTCTAGCACAGCGGCAAAGACAAAATCCTTATTCTCACAGAGCTAACATTCTAATGGAAAGACAAAAATTAAAAAAACTAATATACAAATAATATGATATCAGACAGATACATGCTATTAAAAAAATAAAAGGGCAGGGACAAAGAATGACAAAGGAAGCAGCGTAAGGACAAAGTACCAGGCAATATCTCTCCAAGGCAGTGATTTTTGTCATAAGGTGTGTTCAATTCAACATAAACTATTTCACCACCAATATCTTTTCATAAAATACTCTTCTTCACTTTTCCATACCCCCTTATATTTTTTCCAGAAAAACAAAAGTTTGCTGTAGTGGTTTTTCCACTATTGTTATTATTTTAGAGGGAAAAAAAAAATCTCACGCAGAGTATTGACAGGTGCTTTACAAACAGTTGCAAATTTCAAGTCCCACATACTCTAAAGAAATGTTAATTGTGGGGCGCCTGGGTGGCTCAGTCATTAAGCGGCTGCCTTTGACTCAGGTCATGGTCCCAGGGTGCTGGGATCGAGCCTGCATCGGGCTCCCTGCTCAGCGGGAGGCCTGCTTCTCCCTCTCCCACTCCCCCTGCTTGTATTCCCTCTTTTATGGTCTCTCTCTGTCAAATAAATAAATAAATCTTAAAAAAAAAGTTAACTGTGATCTATCAGTGAGAAGTCTGATGCCAAAATAAAACTGAACTGTAGGAATTTAAAATGGAATTTTGAGAAAATGATTTACTAATTCTCCCAACTCTATCACCTGCACGTTTACTTTCTATCATACAGGAAAAGAATAATAGCAATAGGAAAAATATATCTGAAGAGAGATCCTGTAGTTTTTACTTAAGGACAAAAATATTAGAATTTTGGGGCACCTGGGTGGCCCAGTTGGTTAAGCGTCTGCCTTGGGCTCAGATCATGATCCTAAGGTCTTGGAATCGAGCCCCACATGGAACCCCACTTCCGCCCGACTCCCTACTCAGCAGGAAGTCTGCTTCTCCCTCTGTCCCTTCCCCCCCCACACTCATTCTCTCTCTCTCAGATGAATAATAAAATCTTAAAAAAAAAAAAAAGAATATTCCCCTCTTTAAAAGCCACACTACCTACATGAGTTAAAGAAAACCAGCACGCATAAAATTTCCTTTCACAGGCTTACACAAGAGCTTAGAAGGCTTCAGCCACTTAGAACTAGGCGGTGCCTTACTACAAAAATCTAAGGGCCAAATATTCACTTCCCTTTTTTCCTCAGATTATTTTGCTGATTCCCCATGAGGTATCTGCAGTCTATCTTTCAAAATTATTACTCTGACCCAGCCAAATCTTCTTTTACTTCTCTGTGTACAAAATTCCCTTTCATCTATACTATAACCCTATCTGCCTTGTCTTTTCTTAAAAAAATAAATAAAAAGATTCAAATATCCTTCCAGGCTGACTTATGGATCCCCAAACACTTCTACCTCAGGAGTTCTTAATCTTTTTGCACCATGGATCTTTTTGGTAGTCTGGTGAAGCCTATGGACTCTCTCTGATAGATTTTTTTATTTTTATTTTCTTGATTGATTGTAATCTCGACAACCAACGTGGGTCTGGAGCTCATGACACTGAGATCAAGAGTCACACACACTACCAACGGAGCCAACCAGGCACCCCTCAGATTGCTTTTAAATACATAATTAAACATATGAAATCATGAAAGAAACCAATTATATGGAATTATTTAAATATAGTGATTTGGTAATATATGTGCAGTTTTATCATCACATTAAATAACAAGATCTGTCTAATAATGCCATAAATTCAAAAAGATTATAAGCATAAGTGATATTTTGAGATATCTGAAAAAACTGTAAACATGATACAAAAATATTTGTAATTTTTATTGGTGACAAAGTCACAGGCATTGCTAATTCCACTGTGGTTTGTTGCCTACATTCATAATTGAAGGAACTAATAAGTTAGTTACCAGATGATAAAAATAGATGTGATTTTATCCCCATTCTAGTTCAAAAATCCCCTATATTCTGTCCACCAACTGGTGAATTCCCAGGTTAAAATACTTTCTAGTTCAAAGCTGTGCTCAAACTGACTTCTGTCACAAATTTTAAAATAAAAACAATGATTCCTCCCTTGGCCTAGCTCTCAACTGAACATATCACCACGCCTGTTTTTCCACAGACTTATACACAGAACACTGTTTATTTCTATGGTTTGCCTAGCCAGCACCCATTTAAAATTTGACAGTCAGTAAAAGGTGAAGTTGAAGGAAAGGAGATGGAAGCAACCAACAGTCCCTCACTTCCAAGACATCCAACACAAGTGGAAAGATGCCAAGTATACTGTGTGTGTGTGTGTTTTTCGAAGGTGGGCTGCCCCCAGACCGTGAGTCCAGCTTGTCAAGAGTCCCCGAAGCATGACATCTTAACCAGCGACGCTCAGAAGATAGTCCATCTCCTTCTCGCCTCCTATGCTCAGTTCTCTACCTGCCAGGTCGCTCGCCTGGGGCTCCCACCCGAAGCCGCCCCGCCGTTCTCCGGTCCCTTCCCATCCCATCCCCCACGCGTCCCTCCCTCCCGTCTGCCCCCGGCCGCCCTGGCCCCCGGGCGCCGCCACATCTGTCCCCTGGGCCTAGCCGTGTGTCCCCCCTACCCCCACTTATACCGACACGGGAGGGAAGGGCCCGGGGGTCAGCTGGACTGGGTGGCCCGGCCATTAGGCGCAGGCTGCGGCCCTAGGCCAGACCAGCCCGGCCGCCAGGGAGCGAGCCGCGCACTTCGCGCGAGTTAACCGGAGACGCGCACTCACCACCGGGATTACACGGAGGAAGGCACCCAGGTCTCCGCCGTACCGCCACTCGGCCTCAGAGCCGTCACCCTTGCCGCGAACTGCCACTGCCACTGCCACCGCCGCCGCCGCCGCCGCCGCCGCCGCCACTACTCGCTAGCTGGCTTTCCTGCGTCCTGCGGCGGCGCTGCCGCCACGCCATCGCGCGTGCGCGGCGCCGCGGGGGCCCCTGGGACTGGTGGTTCGCGCGGCCGACCAGAGCGGTCCTTCCGCTTTAGCCAGCCCAGTCAGCCACCGGCTTGAGCGGTCGTGGGCGTCTGCGGTATCGCGAAGCGCCTTCCGGAAAATTGTTCCTCAGCAGACGCGCGACCTCTCTTCCGCGTAGGGTGCTGCCGGGTGTGAAAAACACTCCTGTGCAAGTACGTGTAAAGTGTAAGATTTAGAGCATTAGCATCTTCGGTAACAAGTGTCCGTTGCCCGGGACACATCACTCGACTCACACACGCGCTCGCTCAGACACACCATCTCTCTCTGTTAAAAGTTTCCCAAGTTGCCTTCAGGGGTATCTGGATTTTCAGTTTTAAACCTGATTTCCCAGTCCTCGTTTTATCTTTTTACTTACTGTAAATTTGACCAGTTTTTTGACTGATTTATCTGATAAAATTTTATTTTACAAAAATAACTCAGGTACATTCAAATGTCAAGTTAACGGAGCCGAATAGTCATAGAAACTTTAGAATTGGAAGACGCCTTAAAGGTCATTAGTCCAACTCCCGCCCAGGCAGGAATTCTCTCTTGTACATTCCAGCCAGATGGTCTTCCAACTTTTTTTTTTCTTTTTAAGATTTTATTCATTTGAGAGAGAGCGAGCAGGAGCAGGGGGAGCGGCAGAGAGAGAAGCCGACTCCCCGCTGAGCCAGGAGCCCGACATGGGGCTCCATCCCAGGACCCGGAGATCACGACCCCAGCGGAAGGCAGACGCTTAACCGTCTGAGCCACCCAGGTGCCCCCGTCTTCCAACTTCTATTTCCACAGTTTGAATTTCAGGGAGTTCACTATCTTAAGTGAGATAGCCCGCTCCACTGTTGGACAGCTCTAAAGGTTAGAAAGTTGTGCCTTGGGTGAAATCGGTTTCCCTTTACTTCCTTCCAGTGCTGGAAGTTCTGATGCCTGGAGCAATATAAAATGTTTTCCATTTGACAGCCTTTCAAAAAATTGAAAACAACGATTATATCCTCCAACACTGGGAGTCTCCAGGAAAAAAAAAAAAGTAACATTCAGTTTTCCAACTATTTCAAATGTGAATCAGCTCCCACACTGTTTTCCATTCAGTCATTCTCCTTGATGTATTACCCTTAAAAATATTTTTTTAAATTTCAATGCTAAAAGCTAACCGAACCATTACATTTACTACATTTCTTTTCTAAAATTCACTTTCAAACAAGTAATACAGAAATTCATTCTTGGCCTTAAAAATTGGCCAAAAAATTGTATACAATACAAATAAGTCAAAAAAAAATCCCCTTGATTCCCATCCAATTCCACCCAAAGGGAGCCACTCTTGTCAATGATAGGTATCTACCGGGGCGCCTGGGTGGCTCAGTCGTTAAGCGTCTGCCTTCGGCTCAGGTCATGGTTCCAGGGTTCTGGGATCAAGCCCCACATCGGGCTCTCTGCTCGGCGGGAAGCCTGCTTCTCCCTCTCCCACTCTTGTTGCTTGTGTTCCCTCTCTTGCTGTGTCTCTCTCTGTCAAATAAATAAAATCTTTAAAAAAAAATGATAGGTATCTACCTAGATTGGGGGGACATAAATAGGATCACGTTGTACATACCATTCTGTTCTTTTCATTTAAAAATAAATCCTGAGCTTCATTCCATATCAATACATAAAAATCTACCTCAGTTTTGAAACTTTGCACAGTATATCCATAGTATCACCTACCATAGTTGATTTAGCATCCCCTATCGATTTTGACATTTAGGTTGACTGTACATTCTGAATAACAAAAAATACACGTGAATGAATGATGTTATATTTTAACATAGTTTAAAAAATTTTTTTAAGATTTTATTTATTTATTTGACAGAGAAAGAGAGATAGCAAGAACAGGAACACAAGCAGGGGGAGTGGGAGAGGGAGTAGCAGGCTTCCCGCTGAGCAAGGAGCCCGATGCAATGCAGGGCTCGATCCCAGGACCCTGGGATCATGAACTGAGCCAAAGGCAGACGCTTAAGGACTGAGCCACCCAGGCACCCCAGTTTAAAAAATTTTTTAAGGGAAAAATTTTTTAAAGCTCTGGCAATCTGTAAACAACAACAAAAAAATTCAGTAACACATGGATGGAAGCTGTTCTACACAGGTGGCAGATAGTATTTCTTTATAAGATGCTTTTTGCCCTTTGGAACAGCCCAGTCGCAAGCAAAGGACAAGACTACAGTCATAACCTTACTCCATGTTCTGGGCCCTAGGTTGTCTTACACTGGCTCCCACTGGCAGGCTCAGAAATAGTAGCAGTACTCAGAGATGGATTTACTATGAAGCTGATGGAGCTTAGGATTTAGGGCCCCCCACTTGCCTAGGAATTCTTCCAAGGCCCAAGCAATTCAGTCAATATGGTTTTGCAACATTTGCCAAAGAATTTTTAATTATTGGCTCAGTTGAGGGCAACAGATAAAAGCCCAAAACTTGAGAATACTGAAAATGAGGAAAAAGACGCCTATAGAACAGAGTCATAAATTATGCGACTTGCACTTCAGCACAGTGAAATCTACTATAAACCTTATCCTTCTAGGGTGTCTTGGTGGCTCGGTTAAGTGTTCAACTCTTGATCTCAGCTTAGGTCTTGATCTCAGGGTCATAAGTTCAAGCCTTGTGTTGGGCTTCACACTAGGTGTAGAGCCTAAAACAAAACAAGCAAAACAAAAAACCACCCCTTATCTTTCTATCAGTATCAGGGATGTCCAGACTGATGAGAGCTGTCATGTTAACGCAAAATCAAATTTTGGTACATTACCTGTATTTGTTTTAACCTATGACTATAACATATGAAATAACTTTAATGTAATTATATCTTTTTTTTAAGATTTTATTCATTCACTTGAGAGAGTGAAAGCAAGGGAGGTCACAGAGGGAGAAGCCGACTCGCCACTAAGTGGAGAGCCCGACGTGGGGCTCAATCCCAGGACCCTGAGATCGTGACCTGAGCTGAAGGCAGACCCTTAACTGACTGAGCCACCCAAGCACCCCAATGTAGTTATATCTTAAACATCTTTCACTGACCTTTTTTGTTCTCTTGTATTACTTTTATTTTTTTAAGTATTTTGGAATTTATTGATTTGTATTTAAAACAAACTGTTGACAAAGATTCACAAGAAATAATCTGAACAAGCAGAAAAATACTGAAACACTAAAATAATTCAAGGACACATGGTTTATCCAACAAAACAATACCTCTTAAATGCTGTCATTGATACAAAAACTGACTGCTTCTTACTTTTCTAAACACAGTGGCATAATTAACAATATTCAATCACTTGTCTTTTCCTGAATATATAAAAATTAAAATGCCAAGTAAAAATTAATATATCTTCTCTTTAAATGTTTCCTACAAATACAATTTCAATATTTTCATTCAACAGTGGTGTGGTTTAAGAGTTTTCATTCACAAGTGAAACAACAATCCACCCAAAGGGAACTGATAGTCTATAGGCTCATAGTGCAAATAAAGACTTTAGGAATGCAGCAAATGACATTTCTAACAAACATACCAAACAGATAAAATTCTTAGAAGGAACAGGCAAGAAGCCCCTCTAAGCAGCTGGCCACAGAACTAGAACATTTGATCATTTTACTAGTGATTTCAATGGGACTCTAGATGTTTCCAAATTCAACTTGAACTCTCATCTTGGGCTTTGTATTTTGCTTCTCCAGTTTCACTAATGACACAAACATGATTCAAATCCCTGAAATATTCATTATAGTCAAGGGCATATCCTACAACAAACTTGTCTGGAATTTCAAATCCAACAAAATCTGGTCTGTATCCAATACTTTGAGGAGTCCTTTTCACCAGCAAACTTGCAACCTTGACCATCTTTGGATTATACTGCTGGACCAAGGAAAGCAAGGTTTGCATTGTTTTGCCTGTTTCAATTATATCTTCAACAATCAAGACATTCTTTCCAGTTAAAGTTGAGAGATCATCTCCACCAATTACTTTTATATCCCTTGTGGACTGGTCATTACAGCTTTTCAGTCTGATGAAGTCTACAGTCATAAGAATGGATCTATCACTGTTTCTGTTCACTGCTTGAATGTAACCCAGCAGGTCAGCAAAGAATTTATAGCCCCCCTTGAGCACACAGAGGGCTACAATGTGATGGCTTCCCATCTCCTTCATCACATCTCGTGCAAGCCGTTCTGTCCTGTCCATAATTAATCCATGAGGAATAAACACCTTTTCCAAATCCTGAGCGTAATGATTAGGTATACAAAATAAATCTAGGTCATAACCTGGTTCATCATCACTAATCACAATGCTGGGGCTTCGTGTTGCCATAATGGAGCTGGCTGGTGCGTGGACGGAGGGCAGTTCTCTTCTGTATTACTTTTAGTTTTAAGTTCTTAAAGGCTTTTCAAGCTCAGTAAATTCCTGATAGATAAACAGGGATTTTTTTTTTAATAACAAGAAAATGTAGACAAAAAAGTAACATACTTACAATTTACTCTTTGAAAAACATAGATATCAACAATTTTAATAGCTACATAATGTTTCATCATCTTGAAGTAACATAATTTATCATTTCAAAACAGAAAATTGTTCATTCCTGATAAATATTAAATATTAAATTAATGCAATTTTTAAAAAATTCTAGAATACAGAAATTGAGATTTAAGACTTTGTAAAGCATATTTAAAAATAATGGCATAGTATTATCATACTGTTAAGTAACTTACTTTTCTTATTTAACAATATATAATAGGTTTGTTCTGCCAACTTGACAAGCTAATTCTAAAATTTATATGGAAATACAAGTACCAAGAATAGCAAAACACACTCCTGAAGGTGGAAGGACATGTTCTACTGGATATCAAGCTATAGTAATTAAGACAGAAGTTAATATGATAAATGGTAAAAATCTAAAGACTGTAACAATAAAGTTAACTTTCTTATCGAAGAGGGATATAGGGTCAGCTGGGGTGAAAAAGTGAGGACTTCTTGGTGCTGACAACATTCTTTTTCTTGATTTGGATATTGAATACCTAGGGCTTTATTTTATGATTATTCATTAAACCGTACACTTGCATTTTATGTACTGTTCTGTATTCATATTACAATTTATAATAATAAAGTTTAAGATATGTAAAACATCCAGCACATAGCAAATATTCGATTAAGTGTAGCTACTATTGACATTAAAAAAAAAAAAGAGGCAGTGGATTTGTGACAATCTCTAAGAAATATAGCTAACTGGATGGAAGCAGAACCATGCATGTAGCATGCTCCATCACCAGTTTTAAAATAGGGATATACACACACTGCATATGAGTATGAATAAAACCTATCTAGGCTACACAAGAAAGTGGTGACTGTGGTTATCTTTACCAGTGAAGAGGAATAAGGCTGGGGATAGGGTGGCAGGCAGATTTATTTTCATTGTATATTGTACCCTTTGGATTTTATACCATGTACATATATTTCCTGTTTTATTTTTAAGCATTTATTTAAGTAATCTCTACACCTAACGTGGGGCTCAAACTCACGACCCCGAGATCAAGAGTTGCACACTCCTCTGATTGAGCCTGGCAGGCGCCCCTATATTTCCTATTTTATGTACTTCTTTTTTTTTTTTAAGATTTTATTTATTTATTTGAGAGAGAGAGAGAATGAGAGATAGAGAGCATGAGAGGGAAGAGGGTCAGAGGGAGAAGCAGACTCCCTGCTGAGCAGGGAGCCCGGTGCGGGACTCGATCCTGGAACTCCGGGATCATGACCTGAGCCGAAGGTAGTCGCTTAATCAACTGAGCCACCCAGGCGCCCCGCTATATTTCCTATTTTAAAAATTTAGAGATTTAGGATACATATTATCACTCAAATTCTATAGAAGTAGCTCTATATAATTAGTAGCTTATTTTACTTCAATGGAAAATTTAAAACAGAAGAAAAATTAAAACGTTTTCTGTACAAAACTAAAATGCTTTTCAATTAATCAAATACAGGGGCGCCTGGGTGGCTCAGTCTGTTAAGTGTCTGCCTTCCACTCAGGTCACAATCCTGGGGTCCTGGGATCAAACCCCACGTTGGGCTCCCTGCCCAGCGGGGAGTCTGCTTCTCCCTCTGCCTTTTCCCCTGCTTGTGTTCTCTCTCAAATAAGTAAAAATCTTAAAAAAAATTAAAATATTTTTAAAAATCATAAAATACCTTTATCGTAACAACAGCCTTGTGAGGAAGCAAAATTATATGTATTTTACAGGCTAGTAAACAGAGATTCAGAGAGATTGACTTGTCCTAAATCATAGCTAGTTTAGTGACAGAACTAGAACTCTAGTTTTTATGCTTCCAAACCCCATGGGCTTTTCTATCATACTATCCGACACAGCATGCCCTCCTAAATGCCTTCCACCGGGTAAGGGGGGGAGGAAAGAATAGAAGATGCACTACTTGTAACTTTTCATTTGTCTGTGGGGAAGGTTCCCTATTATAAAATTCACTTTTAAAAAGTCAGGACAGGGGCGCCTGTGTGGCTCAGTCGTTAAGCGTCTGCCTTCGGCTCAGGTCATGATCCCAGGGTCCTGGGATCGAGCCCCACGTCAGGCTCTCTGATCAGTGAGGAGCCCACTTCTCCTTCTATCTCTGCAGCTCCCCCACTTGCGCTCACTCTCTCTGTCAAATAAATAAAATCTTTTATTTTTTTATAAAAAAAATCTTTAAAAAAAAAAGTCAAGACAAAGAAAACTAATTGCATAGCACATTGCACTTTCAAAACACACACACACACACACACACACACACACACACACACACACAGCTACATGATTTATACCTAGTATTGTTCCTGGCTCAGGTGTCAGGGAGATACTTTTTACTCTTCAGTTGTTTAATAAAGGTTAAGGCCCAGTCTCTCTTTTCTTTTTTTTTTTTTTTAAGATTTTATTTTTTTAAAGTTATCTCTACACCCAATGTGGGACTCAAACTTACAACCCCAGGATCAAGAGCCACATGCTCTACTGCCTGAGCCAGCCAGGTATCCCTACAATCAGAGTTTTCTTGAAGTAAATGCTCTAAGAAAAGGGAGGGTCAGGGGTCTAAGGGCCCAGTCTCTTAATACAAAAGACATCTACATAGCCAATAGAAGACAGTAATTAGAACATTTAAAAAAAATTTCCAATAATCCGTCAAATTCAACATAATCACCAAACTTTACTTTCCATTGAAAGAAATCTTGAAAATTGACTCTCAAGAGATGGTTTTCTTGAAGAGCTTCTAAAATTTCTTCTCATAGTATATTCACATGATTTATAGCATTCCTATTATCCTACAACTTCCCACTTTTCTAACCCCCCCACAGTATCTTATCTAATCCTGAAAACAAGCCTACTAAAACCAACAGGACAGAAATCCCTGACATTCAATAGATGAAAAAATTGAGGCTCTGGTAGGTTTTTCTCCCAAGATCATGTGCCTTATCTCTTAGCTGTGTATTCTCCCCAACAAAGGATGTGGAAAATTCTTAATTATCAGGGTCTAAACATTCAATTTGTCAATTACACAAGTCTTTTCCTTTTCCTTCCTGTTCTATGCCCGTAATTCCCTTTCAAAAAGGAAGATTTAGGAACTAAATGACATCCAGTCCTAATCAGTCCTAACTCTACTTAGCTGAGATCAGATGGGAAATAGAAATCTATTTTCTCACCCAAAGGAGCACAAGTGAAACGAGCTGGTTTAAATTACTGGATAAAAATCTACATTTGTCTATCACTCATTATCAAAATATTTGCAAACTATGTAACTACTCTATACCCTAAACAAGATATACATCTTATAAACCCAAAACTCAGGATGATAATCTAGACTACAGAAATTAAAAGTCAAATTGCCAAGGCTCAAATCCTGGCTCCCTATCTCCTCAGCTGTGTAATCTCCTGGGCAAGTTTCTTCACCTCTCGGGGCTTCAGATTCCTTAGCTCTAAATTAAGGTTTAAAAAAAAAAAATGCTTTCATAAGAATTAAAAGAGAAAATGCACATAAAGTGTTTAGCATAGTATCTAGCGCTTAGTTAAATATTGATAATTTGGCATCAATACTATTATTGGCATTTAACATTCAGGAAACTAGATTTATCTATGCACTTTTCTGTTCAATCCATAAAAGATCGCACTTCGGATTATACAATAATATACACCTAATATACTTGGTTTTAAGAAAGATACTACAACCACCAATATACTCTTTGGAAGTTAGCCAGATACCACTTATCTAAATCTTAGGAAAAAGAGAGTTGCAAAAACGATTACTCCATCAATCAAGGAAAAGGCTGAAACTGAGAGCTTTGTTTTTAAGGGAAATGGATGTTATATACACAGTTTCTTTGAAATGATACGAAGCTCTAAAGTGGCTGGATGGTGATTTCTATCTTAATAATGAACTGATGCAACCTATAGAGGATCAGTATTACAGCAGTATTACAAGCCCTGTTGTAAGATGGGTGATGCAACTTCTATAGTCAATTCTGAGTCACCAGCACAACCTCTGAGAAGCACTGAAGGAGAAAGGAAAATTCTTGAGTATTGACTCCAAGGCTGAACATCTTAGTAAACTGTAAGATGTTTCAGTGCTATCTGGATAGGGTATTATGAATACCATGAACCTCAAATATACATTTAGTGGAAAAATACTGGAGTCATCAGTTCCTATGATAATGTCCCATGCATTTTTTGTAAGCATCTCAAAATATTTTGTATCAGACCTTTGGTCTGCCCATAGCAGGTCCTCCAAAAAGATTTGTTGAATGACTTAATTAAAAAAAAACTAAGAGCATTGGCTATGGAGCCAAGCTGACTCGGATTCAATTCTAACTCCATCACTTACCAGCTCTATGACTTTAAGCTAGTTATTTAATATTTCAGTCCCAATTTTCTCATCTGGAGAATGTGAAATGCCAAGTATTAAACTGTAAGGACCGAATGACATAGGAAACAGAACAATGCTTGGCACATTGTAAGTCTAAAGTAGATAGTAGTCTCTATTATTTTTTGCTACAGGTTTTTATACAAAAGGCAATTATCAAGACGTCTTTGTCTATCAGATGGGTTTAAGCACAATCTGACCTTTTCCAAGAAGAATGAAGTTACAAAGGTATCAAGAATAATGGACGAGGAAGGCTGCAAATGATAACCCGGGGCCGCAAAGAAAAAAAAAGATGAGCAGAGGTCAGAAGGCAAGGGGCGGCAAGCTGGAAAAAATGATACATCCCAAGGCGGGAGCGATGGCATTAGTAAGCTTTTCAGACCAGAGCGGGCGCGTTCAGTGTGGTATGGCCGTAGACAGGAGAGGGTTGCCACACGGGTGGGGACTCAGGGCGAGGAGGTAGTTACTTTGGCCAGGTCTGTGACTTACCGTGGGGGAGGGCAATGTGGAGAAACCTGGTATAGACAAAGATAGCTGGCTAGCGAGAGCAGGGCCGACAGAATGGCTAGGAGCCCACGCTCCGCGGCCGTGCAGTGCTCCGGCCAGGCCCCAGCTCGAGGGCTGCGGGCCGGACAGCAACAAAAAGCCCTGAGGCTCGGACACCCCAGCACCGTAGCCGCTATAAAGGGCAATGAAATTTGTTCTGAGGTGATCACAGAATCTACGCTGAGACCTGCCCGCCTGGGATGGGTTGGAAGCTGGGAGGAGGAAGAGCCGCTTCCCGCTTCGAGATGAAGGACGGAGGAGGGACAAGCGGACAGTACAGAAAGAGAAGCAAAGGACCCGAATTCCACCACCTCGAGGGAATCACACACACCACACTGGCCCGGGGCCTCTAGGGCCCAGCGTGGAGGCGGGACTTCTGCCTTTACCGGCGGAAACGGCCTCCGGGTGAGAGGTCGCACGAGGGACAGGCAGCTGCTAAACCAATGGGGCCTGCGCCTGGGGCGGATGTTGCCTCCCATTGGTGGCTGTCGGGTGCGGCCAGCAGCCAATGAGTCCGCTAGGGGGGGCGTAGCCGTGACGCTAGTTGCGGAGGAGGCCGCTTCGAATCGGCGGCGGCCAGCTTGGTGGCCTGGACCAATCAGAGGCCTCCAACGAGCAGGGCCTGGGCCAATCGGTGGCCTCCACGACGGGGCTGGGGGGAGGGTATATAAGCGGCCTCGGCGACGGCGCGGTCGACGCTGGCCGGGACATCACAGAATCATCGACTTGGGGGTTTTTTGTGAGGCTGAGAGGTAAGCGCCGCGGCCTGTCTTTCCGGATCTGCCCCTCGCCTTGTCTGCTGCTCCTGCTGACCCTGGGCCCTGTACCCTCAGATCAGTAAGCTCGGTGCGCTCGGGTGCTGCGGCCTGTGGCTGGATTGCCTGTGACGTCCTGCCTGCCTGCTGACCGACTGGCCTACAGCGCCGGCAACATGAAGCTGTCCCTGGTGGCTGCGGTGCTGCTGCTGCTCGGCGCGGCGCGGGCCGAGGAGGAGGACAAGAAGGAGGACGTGGGCACGGTGGTCGGCATCGACCTGGGGACCACCTACTCCTGGTACGTGGGGTTTGGGGAAAGGGGGGAATGGGGCGTGGCCACCTGGGCTGCTGTGAGAATTGCGGTGCTGATTCCTTGCGTTCTTGGTGATTTTTCCGCCAGCGTCGGGGTGTTCAAGAACGGCCGCGTGGAGATCATCGCCAACGATCAGGGCAACCGCATCACGCCGTCTTATGTGGCCTTCACTCCTGAAGGGGAGCGTCTGATCGGCGATGCAGCCAAGAACCAGCTCACCTCCAACCCTGAGAACACGGTCTTTGACGCCAAGCGGCTCATCGGCCGCACATGGAACGACCCGTCCGTGCAACAGGACATCAAGTTCTTGCCTTTCAAGGTCCGATGGGGTTTTCCTCGCCCGGTTAGAGGTGGGCGGTGGTGGTCGGAGTATTTAAGATTAAGAAGTTAATGAAAAATTGTTGAGACAACAAAAAGGACGCAAACATGGTGTAGCTGTAATAACTCGTATTGAGTAATCTTGGTATGTTACAAAACTTGCTTAAAGTAAGCTTGGCGAACAAAGTCATTTCGCACATAACTATTCTTTCTACATCGTTTAGGATTAAGAGCCCGATTAAAACCGCAGAGGCTTGTCTTTGTAAGGCACCCATAGTCCTCAAGTATTTCTAGTCAATATGCGGTTCCAAGCGACCAAAGTAAACCAAACTATGGGGGGAAGTGGGACTCAGACAGCCCTCTTGAAGTTTTAAATGTTCCTGTATCTGTGTCTGAAAACAGTAATCATTCTTTAAAATAGGTGGTTGAGAAGAAGACTAAACCATACATTCAAGTTGATATTGGAGGTGGGCAAACAAAGACATTTGCTCCTGAAGAAATTTCTGCCATGGTTCTCACCAAAATGAAGGAAACTGCAGAGGCTTATTTGGGAAAGAAGGTAAAATATTTCTAGAAAAACGTTAAGTAATTTTATTTTTCCTATTTTTGATTTATTATGTTGTGTAGATGCCGTTATTGTTTTAATAATTTGAATCTGAATGACATCCATGTATATTGGTTTTAATTACTTGCGTGTTTTACTGTAGGTCAACAAAATATTAGCGACTTTTCACGTGTTACCACTTAACGCTTGCAAATCCATGAGTATAAAATTACATGTATTATACACATCTAACCTGGAAACTAGTTTCTTGGAAACTAAAATGATGGTTTGAGTGCAATTTATATAAGAGTTAAAACCGTGTGATAAAATACGCTTAATTACTTTTTGTTATCTTTTTAGGTTACTCATGCAGTTGTTACTGTACCAGCCTATTTCAATGATGCCCAACGCCAGGCAACCAAAGATGCTGGAACTATTGCTGGATTGAATGTTATGAGGATCATCAATGAGCCGTGAGTGTTGAATTCAAAAGTATGGCATATTTGCCAAATAGGGGAAATGTAAACTTAACTAAGCCTTTTTTTCCTTTCTCCTTCTCTTAACAGTACAGCAGCTGCTATTGCTTATGGCTTGGATAAGAGGGAAGGGGAGAAGAATATCTTGGTGTTTGACCTGGGTGGTGGAACTTTCGATGTGTCTCTTCTCACCATTGACAATGGTGTCTTCGAAGTCGTGGCTACTAATGGAGATACTCATCTGGGTGGAGAAGACTTTGACCAACGTGTCATGGAACACTTCATCAAACTCTACAAAAAGAAGACTGGCAAAGATGTTAGGAAAGACAACAGAGCTGTGCAGAAACTCCGGCGGGAGGTAGAAAAAGCCAAACGGGCTCTGTCCTCTCAACATCAAGCAAGAATTGAAATTGAGTCTTTCTATGAAGGAGAAGACTTCTCTGAGACTCTGACCCGGGCCAAATTTGAAGAGCTAAATATGGTATGTTTCTTGATTTTTTTTTTTTTTTTTTTTTTTTTTTTTTCTTTGCTAATGAGATTTAGTTAGACTCTGTGTTTGAGATACTGCATTTAGATATGTAGACAATGTCTAGGCACAATAGGCATCATCACAGTAATTGTGTTTCCTGTTCTAGGACCTGTTCCGTTCTACCATGAAGCCTGTTCAGAAGGTGCTGGAGGATTCTGACTTAAAGAAGTCTGATATTGATGAAATTGTTCTTGTTGGTGGCTCTACTCGAATCCCAAAGATTCAACAACTGGTTAAAGAGTTCTTCAATGGCAAGGAGCCATCCCGTGGCATCAACCCAGATGAGGCTGTAGCATATGGTGCTGCTGTCCAGGCTGGTGTACTCTCTGGTGATCAAGATACAGGTATGGCACTATCACAGCATCTTCCATGGTACTTCAACAGCTTGATAGGAAGAGTCTAATTATCTGTTGCTTTAGAAGGTAATAGAACATGAGCAACAAGGTCAAATAGCTAGTAAAGGGTAAAGTGAGGACAACACCTGCCTCAGTTTCAAGATCATTAGCAGCTATATTTAATTCACTGCTTCTGAAATGATTTTGCATAGAACCTCACATTAAATGGCAAGATGGAGAAGATAAAGTGACACAGTTCAGGGGGACACTGCTTGGTAGTGCTCCTGCGACTTGAATTAGAATTTAACCTTAGTTAACTTACCTTTGCAGGTGATCTGGTACTCCTTGATGTATGTCCCCTTACACTTGGTATTGAAACTGTGGGAGGTGTCATGACCAAACTAATTCCAAGGAACACTGTGGTGCCCACCAAGAAGTCTCAGATCTTTTCTACAGCTTCTGATAACCAACCAACCGTTACAATCAAGGTGTATGAAGGTAATACCCTACATTTGTGAATGACACACTATGTTTTTGAGAAGCATGAGTTCTTCATGTATTCTTTTGAAATGAGAAGGGCTAGAAATATCTCCTCTCTTCAGACGGGGTACCTAATATGACTAGTGTTGAGTTTGGTAAAGTCAACCTGAAAATCTAGTTCTTACTTAGCTACCTGGAACTCTTTGCCTTTAAAAATAACTTCTGGGGCGCCTGGGTGGCTCAGTTGGTTGAACGACTGCCTTCGGCTTGGGTCATGATCCTGGAGTCCCGGGATCGAGTCCTGCATCGGGCTCCCTGCTCGGCAGGGAGTCTGCCTCTCCCTCCGACCCTCTTCCCTCTCGTGCTCTCTATCTCTCATTCTCTCTCTCTCTCAAATAAATAAATAAAAATCTTAAAAAAATAAAAATAACTTCTGAGGGGCGCCTGGGTGGCTCAGTCGTTAAGCGTCTGCCTTCGGCTCAGGTCATGATCCCAGGACCCTGGGATCGAGCCCCGCGTCGGGCTCCCTGCTCAGCGGGGTCTGCTTCTCCCTCTGCCTGCCACTCCCCCAGCTTGTGTTCCTGGTCTCACTATCTCTGTCAAATAAATTAAAAAAAAAAAAAAATAAAAATAAAAATCTTAAAAAAAAACTTTTGAGCTGGCTCCTAGAAAAAGAGTTCATAATGCTGTAGAGAAGAAATTCAATTAAAAGTTAGTAGTAACTTAACACAGTCCTACTTGCTACTCCTTATAGATCAATACTGACCCACTTCTAGCTTGATAAGTATGCCCTTGCCACAGTAGGCTCCAACAGACTGAAAGTGTAAGGATCCAGATGCACTAGTGGTTGTCAGTAACAACTAACAAGTTATTTTTTTGGTGTAACTTCTAGGTGAACGACCCCTGACAAAAGACAATCACCTTCTGGGAACTTTTGACCTGACTGGAATTCCTCCTGCTCCCCGTGGGGTCCCACAGATTGAAGTCACCTTTGAGATAGATGTGAATGGCATTCTTAGAGTGACAGCTGAAGACAAAGGTACAGGCAACAAAAATAAGATTACAATTACCAATGACCAAAATCGCCTGACACCTGAAGAAATTGAAAGGATGGTTAATGATGCTGAGAAGTTTGCCGAGGAAGACAAAAAGCTCAAGGAGCGCATTGATACCAGAAATGAATTGGAAAGCTATGCCTATTCTCTAAAGAATCAGATTGGAGATAAAGAAAAGCTGGGAGGTAAACTCTCCTCTGAAGATAAGGAGACCATGGAAAAAGCCGTAGAGGAAAAGATTGAATGGCTAGAAAGTCACCAAGATGCTGACATTGAAGATTTCAAAGCTAAAAAGAAGGAACTAGAAGAAATTGTTCAGCCAATTATCAGCAAACTCTATGGAAGTGCAGGCCCTCCCCCAACTGGTGATGAGGAACCAGCAGACAAAGATGAGTTGTAGACATTGCTCTGCTAGCGCTGTAATATTGTAAATACTGGACTCAGGAACTTTCGTTAGGAGAAAATTGAGAGAACTTAAGTCTCGAATGTAATTGGAATCTTCACCTTGGAGTGGAGTTGAAGATGCTATAGCCCAAGTGGCTGTTTACTGCTTTTCATTAGCAGTTGCTCACATGTCTTGGGGTGGGGGGAAAGGAAGAATTGGCTATCTTAAAAAGTGGGTAAAAAAGCTGGGTTAGGGTATGTGTTCACCTTGGAAATGTTCTATTTAACAATTGGGTCATGCGCATCTGGTGTAGGAACTTTTTCTACCATAAGTGACACCAATAAATGTTTGTTATTTACACTGGTCTAATTTTTGTGATAAGCTTCTAATTAAGTCCATTGCTTCAAGGTTAGAGTCTCACTTGTGTGGAGGGGGTTGGGGTTTTTATTTAATACTTTCAGAAAACTTGCCTAACAGTCTAGTTTAAGAAATGGGTGGGGGACACAGATGGTTGAGCATCTGACTCTTGCTTTCTGCCCAGGTCATGATCTCCATGTTGTGGGGTCGGCTTGTCCATCTCCCTCTGTTTCTCACCCCCCTCTTCCCCCCCCTTTTCCTCCTCTCTCAAATCTTAAAAAAGGGGGGGAGAGGGGCACCTGGGTGGTGCGGTTGGCTAAGCAATTGACTTGGTTTGGGGTCAGGTTGTGATCTCAGGTCATGAGATTGAGCCCCCCCATTGGCTCCGTGCTGAGCATGGAGTCTGCTTGAGACTCTCCCTGTCCCTCTGCCCCTTCCCCACACCCCCCACAACATAAAAAAAAACGAGGGGCGCCTGGGTGACTCCGTTGGGCGTCTGCCTTTGGCTCGGGTTGTAATCGAGGTCCTGGGATCGAGCCCCACATCAGGCTCCCTGTTCAGCAGAGTCCGCTTCTCCCTCTCCCTCTGCCCCTCCCCCTACTTGTGCTGGCACACCCACTCCGCCTCTCTTTCTCTGTGTCAAATTAATAAATCTTAAAAAAAAAAAAGGGGCAGGAAAGGTAAACATTCTTACCTAGGCAAGGGCCATTTTACAGTGCCCAAGGGTGGAATTGTCTTGAACATACTTGAAATTTCTGATTTCCCCCTTTTTTTTTTAAACTTTCTGGTGGCTTTTTATTACTAAATGCTTCGCAGCGGCTGGAGTTCTAAGACTTGCTATGAGTGATGGATCACTGATGGTAACTTTATACACTTGGATTCAATTCACAATTTTAGGATATAAAGGTGTATTTTAAAACCTCTGCTATGTCAGAACCTCCATCTCTGACATTTCTCATTAGTGGTCTGGAGGGGGGGTTCTAGGATGGTGACCCTGAAACTACTTTGAGCCCTACTACAATTGTGGATCAAAGGCAGTCATTTGTATCAAAAGAGGTTCAAGATTACTTGGATTGGCTCCCTGAGGGGATGATCTAAATGAATAATTTTGTGTGATCAATAAAGGGCAAGCTCTCTGGTGCTAATAAGAAATCCAATACTGCTCAAGGATAAATATTTTATAGGTGGGCAATCAGCTGAAAGGTTAATTTGCTAACTGGCAGAACTGGAACCTGATGGCATGATTATTTTACTCTGAGGCCCAGATCCCTGCTGCAGTGCCCCAGAAGCATTTGGACAAGCTTGGAGTGTAATACCAAAGGTCTTCAGGCCAAGTTCAATACAAACCTTAAAAATGACCTGCAGTTGGGGCGCCTGGGTGGCTCAGTTGGTTAAGCGACTGCCTTCGGCTCAGGTCATGATCCTGGAGTCCCGGGATCGAGTCCCGCATCGGGCTCCCTGCTCGGCAGGGAGTCTGCTTCTCCCTCTGACCCTCTTCCCTCTCGTATTCTCTCTCTCTCAAATAAATAAATAAAATCTTTTAAAAAAAAAAAAATGACCTGCAGTGCTGTGTGCTGTGATGTTAGCAGGTGGCTGGGAAAGACAAGGGCCAGTCTTCATCCCTGTCCCCAATAGCTCTCACTACCAAATGCCAACAGGCTGCACCTCTTTCTGGAGAGCAGCTCTGAATACTAGAAAGATACACTTCAACCTGTAAATGTCCACTCCCTGATTTATACAGCCTAATTCTGCAACATTTTGGGCGTTAATTTTTTTTTAAAGATTTTATTTTTATGTAATCTCTACACCCAATGTGGGGCTTGAATTTACAACCCTGAGATCAAGCGTCACATGCTCTACTGACTAAGCCAGCCAGGTGCTCCTTTGTGATCAATATTCTGAAGCAATCACACCTACTTAGGCTGTATTGCTGGTAAAACCCTTTTAATAGAGGTTTTTGCACTTGGGCTATCCATTTTTTCACCTACCAAAGTAGGTAAGAGCAAGAGGGCTACATAGTGCAAAAAAATATTTTGGAGGTATAAAACAGCTAAGGTTTCATTTAACTTTTCTGAAAGTTTGTCATTTAATAAAAATGTAGAATTTATTAGTCAACTACAGTCACAATACAGTCATTATAGATTTCCCCTTCTGTATTCATCCCGCCGAACACAAAACAGAGCAATGTGTCTGTCTGACTTTCCTCATGTAAATCACCACCTTGGGTCACTCCTTTGTTGGTGGACTCCCCTTTCTCAGTATCACAGTTTAGAGTGAGAGAATTTGAATCTTCTTTCTCAGAAGTACACATCACAGGCCATGGAATGACACACATGGAATGATCCAATCGTCCAGGGGGTAGAAAAGTATCAAATTTAAGCAAGGTCCAATGCTGCTTTTCTATGTTAGAGAAAAGACAAATATACAAAGACTCTGTGTTAAGACATTTCCAGAAATGCTCAGTGATTTGCTGTATCAGCCCTAACAGAAATAGGAAATAAAAGAAAAAAAAATCTGGGGCGCCTGGGTGGTGCAGCTGGTTAGGCATCCGACACTTGGTTTTGGCTGAGGTCCTATTTTCAGGGTTGTGATGTCGAACCCTGCATCTGGCTCTGCGCTCAGTGTGGAGTCAGCTTGGGAGTCTCCCCTTCCCTCTGCCCCTCCTTTTCTTGCTGTCTCTCTCTCTCATAAATAAATAAATCTTAAAAAAAAAAAAACAACCTAATGGCAGTGTTACTGCTTCCATGATGTCATTCATTCCCTAGAAGTTTGGTTTTCATTTCTTTGGATTTAGATGTGGAGAGAAAAGCCAAAGCACTGTAATACTTTTCAAAGAATGGTCACATTTGTTTAAAGACCCACAGTGAACACCTGCTCACCTATGTGATACTGGTACATTGTATCCAGGGCTCCTGTGGGAGTCATCCCTCCAAAGATATACAGGTGTTTCCCCACAACCACAGCTGAGTGGGCAGCACAGCCTGTGGGAGATGACCCAGTGGGACTTAGCTTCTGCCACTTCATGTCACCTGCCAAGAGAAAGAGAGCGGGTACAATGTGACCTAGAATATGGACTCCCACCTTACCTGTCAGACTCCTGCAGTGTGCAAACCAATCACGGAAGGTCATTCGCTAAGCACTCTGGGAGGTAATACAGCAAGGTTTAATGGACACAGAAATCACTTGGGGGAGCTTCAAATTCTGTTTGGGTGTCCAGGGAGGGAGGAGGACCTCAGTAGTCGATAGTTTTAGCGAGCATCTCAGGTGATTCTGATATAAGCGGTCTTTGGAGTACACTGAATAATAGGATATTATCTTTGGTGACTGTCACCATTTACTACTTTGGAGCCTGGAAGGAGTTGAGTTCCATGTCTGTGTGTGCACGTTTTAAATACTAGCAGTTTCTTAGAAAGCAGCACCTTTATGAGTGCTGCCTAGGCACTTTAAAGATTTTGCTTGCTCACAACAGTCCTCTGAAACTGCTATTACTTCTGCCTACTCTCTTTTTACTGGTGAAGAAACGAATCAAAGAGGGAGATACTTGTCCAAGATCTCACAGCCAGCAAGAGGCACAGCTAGCCTGATACTCGGGTCTGATGCTAGAACCTGTGTTCTCCACACTGTAAGGTGCTACCTCAAGCACCTGCTCCCAACCTATTTCTGCAAGGACATTTGCATCTTTTCAAACAAGCATTGAAATGAGGCATGATATTATTGGATTTTAGGTTTAGAGAATTACCAGGGTAGGAAAGGAAGAGAAACAGCCAGAAAGTAGTTCCTCAGCTGAAGGAGTAGGACTTTCTTTTTTAAAATACGCATTAAGGAGCGCCTGGATGGCTCAGTTGTTAAGTGTCTGCCTTCAGCTCAGGTCATGATTCCAGGGTCCTGGAATCGAGCCCCAAATCAGGCTCCCTTCTCCCTCTCCCACTCCCCCTGCTTGTGTTCCCTCTCTTGCTGTGTCTCTGTCAAATAAATAAATAAAATCTTAAAAAAAATATATGCCTTAAAACCCCAGTTGAGGGGCGCCCAGGTGGCCCAGTCGGTTAGTATCTGCCTTTGGCTCAGGTCATGATCCCAGCGTTCTGGGATCAAGCCCTGTGTCTGGGTCCCTGCTCAGCAGGGAACCTGCTTCTCCCTCTCCCTCTGCCCCACCCCCCTCCCCCTGCTCATGCTCTCTCTCTCTCTCTGTCGAATAAATAAAGTCTTTTAAAAAAATCAATAAATAATTTAAAAATAAAATCCCAGTTGACTGCTGCAAGGAACACTTCTGTGAAGATATTTTCCATCTGTCAATTCAAGGCAGGGGACCAGCATCTCAGAGTTGGAAGGGAGATCACCCAACCTAGCCAAAACAAGAATCCCAGCCAGTGTCACCTAGCCTCAGATGTCACCAAGCCAGAGAATCCATTGTTGGGCAAGGTAGCCCAATACACCACATAGCACTTCTTGTGCCTTCTGCCCACTGTTCCAATTCTTGTAGTCTAAAGTAACGCAAAAGATGTTCATTTGTTTGTCCATTCAAGATACACACTCATCACCCTCAATCTACCAGACACTGTGTTAAGGGCTGGAAATAAACTGGGAAACAAAAGAGACATAGCCCCTGCCCTAAGGAAGCTCACAGTCTGAAAGAATGACCCAGAATAAGTCAAGGATCTCTATGACACATCAGCCCTTTAGACGCTTAGAGACAATTCTCATGTTCTCCCTAACTTTCCTCTTCCTGGGGTGTGTGTGTGTGTGTGTGTTTAAGATTTATTTATTTGAGAGAGAGAGGGGGAGAGCACAGAGGGAGAAGCAGACTCCCCGCTGAGCAGACAGCCCCATGTGGGACTCAATCCCAGGACCCTGAGATCATGACTTGAGCCGAAGGCAGATGCTTAACCAACTGAGCCACTGAGGCACCCTTCTTCCTGGTGTTTTCAACCATTTAGCGTGGCAATTCTGGTCACCAACCTCCAGACACACTCGAAGTTGTCCATGCCCCTCATGGGCATAAGGTTAATCGTTAATGTCAGCCAGGGAATCCAGTCAGGGAATACAAAGCATAATGAATTTTAATGAAAGAGTAGGGTTGTTGGAAGCATAAGAGATAATTAATGGCTGTGTATATAGCAAGTACTCAGAAAGGGATTGCTTTCATTGGTATTATTATTATTATTCAGGCCACATTTGACAGAAATCTAGCCAAGATTCTGCTGGCTGGCCAAGGTATCCATACTTATGAGCAAAGCTGTATTCTATCAAAGATATTTTATTTAATTTTAAGCGGACAAGCCCCCATGCCCTCTACCCTACTTACTTATATCAATGCAATGGAGATCATCATAGAATTTGTCCCCTGCCAAGCCTCCATGGATGAAGAGCTTTGTCCCTGCTGCCACCATCACATGACCATGCCGGGGGGATGGAGGTTTGCCAAGTGTCTCTGGCTGTGACCAGGTCAGAGTGTCTAGAAAAGTAAATTCATTGACATCTGATGAAAAAGCTAGGAAGAACATGAGAAACAGACCCAAGCTTCATTTCCCAGCAAGCAGAGATGCTCAAAGCCGAAAGTGACCTTGGGGTCATTCACTCCAACGTGCCAACCCAATCCAGGCCGCCCTTCTCCTACAGCCTGTACAGCCTCTGCCTGAACACTTCCAGGGCTGGAGAATTCACTACCTAACATGCCTGCCCCTTCTACAGGGCATTAGGGAACTATTCCTTGCTTTGACCTAGAACTGCCCCAGAGTTCAAAAGAATGAGTGCTTCTTCCCTGACAGGCCTTCAGAGTCTTCCTTTTTCAAGACGATACCTTTTAATTGATTTGCTGGAAGCGTGGGGGAAAAAAAGACTACTTTGGGAGTTAGCAGGGCCTGCCAAAGTGGCAGTATAGGGTGAGAGTTAGAACACGGGGCATGGAGTTAAAACTGGCTCATTTCACTGAATAACTTTGTGGCCTTGCACCAGTGAATTCCCTAAGCTCTAGTTTTTACCGTTGTAAAATGGGGATAAAGATACTACCTAGCTCTCAGGGCTAAAGTATGGATTAAATGAGATGATGTACATAAGGCACAGGCTCAGAGGAAGCACTCAGTGCATGAAAGGTTGTGTTAGAATTACTGTTTGTGGCATGCCTGAAGGTTGTGCATGGAGCCCCACTGTTCAAAGGAATACAGTTTGAAATAATCTGAAAAAGGTTTATGCACAAACACATTCATCACAGCATTGTTTGTAATAGAGAAGAACTGAAAATAGCTTCAGTGCACCAACAGGTGAATGGTTGTTATTGCTACAGTCAAGATAGAATACTATGTATTTATTAAAAATGTTGATAATTGAGGCACCTGGCTGGCTCAGTCAATAGTGCATGTGACTCTTAATCTCAGGGTCAGTTCAAGCCCTACATTGGGCGTGGAGCCTACTTAATACAAACAAATAAATAAAAATATTGAAGACTTCACGATCACAGGGGAAGTGCTTAAGTGAAAAATATAGGATACAAATATTACATGTAGAATTATCTCTGCTATTTTTAAAGATTTTATTTATTTCATTAAGTAAACTCTACCCCCAACGAGTGCCATGCTCTACCAACTGAGCCAGCCAGGTGCCCCATCTCTGCTATTAAAAAAAAAAAAAAGATTGGATGGAAACACACTGAGATGTTAATACTTTGGGAGTGATAGTATTATATATATATATGTATATGTATATATATATACATTTTCTTCCTCATTCCTTAGAGTTTCATGTATTCAAAATCAACATTATTTAACATTTTAAAAACTGCCTTAAAAGATTTGCAAAGTCCGTTCTTTCAGGAAAGAGAAAAGTCATACTGTGATGTGTCTTCATTCTTCTAATTTTACTTTGTAAGTTTGAAATTTTGATTATTGCATCTTCTGAAAAAAAGGGCTGCATCTCTCGTGAAAAACACACATGAAAACTATTTTTGTCACATGTTATTTGTAAATTGTTATTCATAAATGCCTACTAGTAAGAGGAAGAAATGCAAATAAATGCTCCTTACACAAAATCCTGGCAAGAGGTCTCATAATTCTAAATGTTTGCGTCATTTTCACCCAGTAATTCCACTCCATCTCCTCCATATAAATGTTTGTAATACATACAAAAATTAATGTATATGTTCACTGTAACACTGTCAGCAAAAAGTCAGTCAGTAGGAAAATGAATGAATGAATGAGTGAATAAGGAATACCCACAGGATATGCTCTGCAAGGAAACTGGTACTGACTTAGAAGACATCCATGATCTGTTATTAAACAGAGGGATCATTAACAGTTCATATTCCTGAGGTGCTCCCTATATGCCAGGTACTGTGCTATGCACTATATCACATTACCTCACTTAATCTTTCCAGCTCTTTTTAGTAGGCACTATTACTATCTCTATTTTGCAGATCAGCAAACTAAGACCTAGAGACTAATTAACTAATCGAAAGTAATCCAGAAAGTAAGTGTCAGATCTGGTCCTGCATCCAGGCTAGGTGGCTTCGAAATACATGCTTTCGACTCCTGAGATTTAGCCTCACCCCTGCATAAGTAAGCTGTAGAACGGTATTTATAATCTGATCCCATGTATGTGTTTTAAGGTTTCTATATCATTTCAAAATTCACAGAAAATTCATAAATGTCCATTTACACATATATGTATGATTTAGAAATGCATAGGCAAGTCTGGAAGGAGACATCAGGAACTGTTAAGAGTTTTCCCTTTGTTTGGGGCGTGGGAAGGAAAGGCTAAAGGGGAAACTTTCACTTTTTTTCCTTTCTAAATTACACTGTTTAAATATTTTAAATTGATCATTTATACCTTTTTAAATGCACATGTCGCTGTGGGAGGAACATATTAGCTAAGGGATGTGTTGAAGACATCTAAAAGTGAGACACTCAGAGTGTCATTTTCTATCCCCTGCCTCCTACATCAGGTAAGCTGTAGGCTGGGGTGGCTCTGACCTGGTTAAGTGGCAGCCCCAAGGGGCCCGCCAGTCCATACCTGCGTCAAACACATGCAGCTTCACATCCTGCACAGGCTGGGCACCTCTCTCTCCGCCCCCAAAGACATACAGTTGGTTTCCAATGGCTGCAGAGGATGTGTGGAATGTTCTTGGAGATGGTGGAGGGCTGATCACCTCTGGCATGGTCCAAGTCCTCGTTTCTGGTCCAGAGAGAGAAGGCAGGCACCTAAAATATCCAGGCTGATGGACCTCTGATCTTGACTCTGAGGCTAGGCAGGGTTACCTTCCACACCCCCAACCCCAACAGGGACAGCAGAGGTCCAGGTAGGTAGGGTTCTTGTGCCAGCGAAGTCAAGGCGGGGTGGCAGGGGATACTGAGAATTTTCCCAGATTGAGTCAAATCCCCAAGATTGAAAAGTCACACACACAATTGAGAATGAGGTCGATTTGTTTTTGGAGATCTTCCTTCAAACATCCTCTCTGAACGCTCTTCTCCTTTGCTCACTTCCCTGCCCTGGGCCCATTCAGAGGAGCCCAACACCTGCTAAAATTCTCCCCACTAGAGGCTAGAATTAAATGTTCCCAATTTCCCAGAACACGTGGCCATTAAAAGAAAATAGACAAAGCAATCACAGTGTCAGTAGTAATAATAATAGCTCCTTCTAAATAGTACATACTAAGTAAATATTAGTTTCTCCATTTTACAGATAAGGGAACTGAAGCAGAGACAGATGAAGTCATTTGTTTAAAGTGACATGGCTAGGGACGCCTGGCTGCCTCAGTCGGTGGAGTGTGCAACTCTTGATCTTGGGGTTGTGAATTTGAGTGCCACGCTGGATGTAGAGATTTACTTAAAAAATAAAATCTTAAATAAAATAAAATAAAGTGACATGGCTAATAAATGGCTGAGTTGGGATTCAGATTCCATTTGGATAACACCAAGATCTATGTATTTTCCACTCTTCTGACTTGAGAATAAAATTTAGCCACCTGGGAGAGGTGCAAAGAAGCTTCTCTCTTTTTAGAATACAGCATGAGCTTTATAGAAACAGATGCATTAATCAAGCACCTTCCTTGTGCAGAATCACTGTCCTTAGCATTCTGTCTGTCATCCCCACTTAACTCTAGGAGGTGGCTGGAAAGCACCTCATTTTGCAGATGAGGGAACTGAAGCTCAGAAAATTTAAATCCTTCCCCCCAGGTCACAGCATTTGTGGGTAGCAGAGCAGAGGTTTGAACTCAGATCTGTCAAGCCTCCCACACTCGCACCACCACCACAGCACACCAGGAATTATTTCTTGCCTGGGAAATTCTGTGCCTTTTGTAAAGGTCTTCATTCAGCATATACAGAGTGCCACAGAAAGCATCTGTAATATGTATGGGACTCAAACATGAACCTCGAGACGAAACAAGTCTCAGCCTATATCCAAAGCAAAATGTAATTATCTCTAGAGCTATGAATCTTGGGGAGCTTTTGAATCTTAAGGGGAGTTAGAAGGTGCACAACCTCCGGGATCGGAAGATCCTGAGATTGTGTCGCTCCCAAGTCAAAACACTAGCACAAATAATTACAAAGGAGTCCTAAGCCATTTGACAAACTGGCCTTAGTAACAAAATAGCTAACGATTCACATTTTTCCTATTTCTCGGGCATGGTGTCAAATTATACTTTCTAGGAGAGGAAAGGGATCTGGTAGAAAATCAACTCCTCTGACAGAGGCTTCCCAAATTCTCTGTATTTTATTCAAATGGATGCCATCATTGAAAATCAACAGACCAGGGATCCAGAACTGATTTCCATCTGCCAAACCATAGCTACATCAACCACAACCACAATTATCGAGCATTAACTGTGTACCAGGCATTGAGTAAATTTAAATCCTTGCCAAACTTAACAAGGTAAGAACTATGACTAACCCAATGTGATGGAAGACCACCTGTTTGCAAACAAGCATCTGATTGAGAGAGCACTGGGCAAGAGCTGACTGTCATGTGAAAAATGTCCAGGTTGCTAATCGTTAACAAAATGTATATTTAAATAAATAGATACAAATTTGTTGGTCTATCAAATCAGCAGTGTTTAAAAATGATAAATTAAGTGGTATCTGGCTGGCTCAGTCAGGTGGACCATGTGACTCTTGGATCTCAGGGTTGTGAGGTCAAGCCCCACATTGGGCACAGAGATTACTTAAAAACAAAATCTTGGGGCACCTGGATGGCTCAGTTGGTTAAGCATCTGACTCTTGATTTCAGCTCAGGTCTTGATCTCAGGGTTGTGAGTTCAAGCCCATGTGAGTTTGAGCCCCATGTTCAAGCCCCCGGTTGTGAGTTCAAGCCCCATTAAAATTAAATAAAATATAAAAAAAGAGAGACAAATTCAGTGCCAGTCAGGAGTGAAAATGCACTATTGATCATAGCTGGAGAGAGGCGCAGTTGGAAAATTCTGGAGAGCAACTGGGTAGCATGTATCCAAAGTTTTTTAGTTCTGGGTATGAATTCTAAGCAAATAATTGTCAATGACTTCTGAACAAAGATGTTCACACTTTTGTTATTTATAATGGCAAAAATCTGAAAACAAACTAAATTATGGTATTATCACAAAATGGAGTATCATGCAGCCATTAAAAGTGATGTTAAAGCAAAGTTAATAAGAAACCATTTCTACAGTAATTATGAAATTCAAAGGAAAAAGGTACAATAGTGTAGGGGTGAAAAAGTATGAACTCAAGACTTACAGAAATGCAGAGAACTAAAAGAAAGGAAGTATACAGAGAGGTTATCAGTAGCCTGAATGTCACCGGATCGTGGATGTCTTTTGTCCACTTTACGCTTTTCAAATATTTTACAATGAATTATGTTTATAAAGAGAAAAAAACAAAAAAAATTTTAACTACAATTTTTAACAAAAAGACAAGTCCACCTCCCATGGTGGTTCAGGAACATCCTCTCAGGAGAGATGTTCCTAAACTGCTTCGTCTGTGATAAAACTGCCAGTGACACTAGGCAGGAACTTTGCACTGTTTGGCTAAAAGAAACATAAAAGGAGGATCTAGGTCAGGGTTTCTTAACTTTGGCACTACCGGCATTTGAGCTTAGATAATTCGCTATTATGGGGGGCTGTCCCATGTGTTACAGGATGGATAGCAGCATCTCTGGCCTCTGCCCACTAGACGTCAGTAGCAATCCCCCAAGCCCTGAGCTTGATCACCAAAAATGTGTCCAAACGTGGCCAAATGTCCCCTGGGGGACACAACTGCCCCCACCTGAGACCCCCTGATCTAGGTGACAGGTTCTAGGCTGGTTTAGTCACTGACTCCCTGGTGACTTTAGGAAAGTCACTTCCCCTGGACTTGGGTCGCCTTGGCATAGCTGTTCTCTGAAGTTTCTTCCAGCTTTGGCTTTTAAGAAGTTGATAATTGGACATGTTATGAGGTGGGGGTGGGGGTGGGGATGTAATTCTGTTATTTTCATATTCTTCCAGAAGTTAAAATTCCTATTTTCAGGCACCTGGGTGGTTTAGTCAGTTAACCGTCCACCTTCGGCTCGGGTCACGATCTCAGGGTGCTGGGATCGAGCCCCATATCGGGCTCCCTGCTCAGTGGGGGGGTCTGCTTCTCCCTCTCTCTCTCTAGCTCTCTCCCCCACTCATGCTCTCTTGCTCTCTCAAATAAATAAAATCCTTAAAAAATTAAAAAATAAAAATTCCTATTTTCTATGAGGTCAGCAAAGTTAAATGAATTATTCAGGACAATCCAAATGAGTTTTGCTCCAGGAAATGGAATTGGATTTCTTTCTTTATTTAGGTAAATGAAAATAACTTTTGGCTACTTACCAGGATTCAGAACTTGTAGGCAATTTCGATTTCCTGACTGGTCAGCACCTCCAAACACCCAGATGGTATGAGGTGCACAAGAGGGAATGAAGCTGGCATGCTCGTAACGGGGCAAAAGGCCCTCCGCGGCAGCCAAATCCCACCGGTGTGTTCCTAGAAGACATTTCATTCAGCCCCTGCATTGGAGCTGCCAACTGCTTCTATCAGTTGACAGCCTTGGGGGACAGTAGTGAGGAGAAAAGGGTCCAAGGCATAAGTGAACAACCATCAGGTCACTAACAGGGAATATAGTCAAATTCTAAAAAGTTCTATAATAGAACTTCAGGGGCTGTCTGCCTAGTCCAGAAATGCTTCTCTAGGGAAACTGTCCCCGTTCTCCCAACCATGGGGGTAGAGATCACAGAAGACCTATTTGTACTACAACACCTTGACTTTGATTGGGTCAAAGGTAGTCACTTGACCCAAAATGGGTCAATCAGATCCTCCTTCCAGAGAAGTTGGAATTCAAACAGATTTCTGGATTTCTTCTATCATGTGTGGAGAAGCAGCTAAAGCCAAAGTATGAAGAAGAGAAAAGAAACGTCTACATAAAGAAGCAGATCTCCCCAGAGAGAGTGAGGGAGAAAGTAGATGGTTTCTGATGGCTTTCCAGTTCCTATTTCTGCTCTTTCCTGAGGCTAGGCTGTATTTCCTATGTTTGGATTCTTCCTTTTTTTTTTTTTTTTTTTTTTTGCTAGTTTAAGAGAGTTTCTATTACCTGCAACTAAACAATTTCTGGCTAAAACAGGTTCACAAATGCCAAGGGGAGTAAGCTATTATCCCCATTTTACAGGACACTGAAGCCCAGATGGTTTAGACAGGTTAGCCAGGGTCCCAAAGCTAGTACTAGGTCCCACCAAAGATGTACATGAACTAGACAGTGAGTTTCTTAAGGGCTGGCAGAGATTTCACTTGCTTTGATTTCCTACTGCCGGGTGTAGAAATTCAAATGCCTATGTAGGAGTGAATGTGGCAAATTGGGGGATGAGAACCCCACTGAGAGGCGGCATCTCTACTGTTGTCATGTAGACATGCAGGCCTACTGATGTCAGATCTCCCAAAATTATCAGGAGAAGCCAAACCATTTCCATTTTTATATGTAGACCCTTGCACATTCATTTGGTGAACAACTCAGATTAAAACGATAACAGCAACGTGACATGGACCTAACAAAACGTATATGTGGGCCACTGGTTTTCTTCAGCCCATGGTGTATAGCACAGAGTGGTCACCATTCATTCCTTCTTCATTCATTCACTCATCCATCCATCTATCCACCCAAATACTTAAAAAGCACCTACTCTGGGCACCTGGGTGGCTCAGATGGCTAAGCGTCTGCCTTCGGCTCAGGTCATGATCCCAGAGTCCTGGGATCGAGTCCCACATTGGGCTCCCTGCTCCTTGGGAGCCTCCTTCTCCCTCTGCCTCTCTCTCTCTCTCATGAATACATAAATAAAATCTTTAAAAAAAAAAAAAGCACCTACTCTGGGGGCACCTGGGTGGCTCAGTGGGTTAAGCATCTGACTCTTGATTTTGGCTCAGGTCATGATCTCAAGGACAGGAGATTGGGCCCCGAGTGGGGCTCTGCGCTCAGAGCACGGAGCCTTCTTAAAGAATCTCTCCTGCCCTCTCTCTCCGCACCCCCCCTTCTGTTTGTGCCCTCACTCACTCTCTGTCTTAAAAAAAAATTTAATTAATTTTTTAAAAAGCACCTACTCTGTGCCATGCACTATGGTAGTGGCTGGGGGTACAACGGTGAATAATATAACTATGTTCCTTGTTTCCAAGGAGCTTATACCCTTGTGGGGAAGACAGACAAGATACAATCACATGTGATAAGGGCTGTGAAGGGGGAATGGGAAAGTGAAGAATACTATGGAAATATAGAGGGCGGGTTATGACATTGTGATTTATATTAATATATACGTTATCTTTGTCAGTTCCAGGCACAGAGCTCTTAAAATCCTTGGAATTTCCCAAATTATAAGATTGAAAAAGGTGTCTTATGTAACAAGCTCCTGTCAACCATACCTGGGTTTATGTTTATGGGGGGACTTCTGGAAAGCCCTAAGGATGGAGGCTGGTTGCCAGGGGAAACAACCATATGATCAGAAGGTTGGGACTTTCAGCCCCAGCCTCCCACCCCCACCTCTGGGAAGGGTAGAGGGTCTATAGGTTGAATCAATCACCAATGGCCAGTAATTTAATCAATCACACCTATGTAAAGAAGCCTCCAAAAAAACCCAGAAGAAGGAGTTTGGAAAGCATCCAGGTTGGTAAACACATGGAGGTGCTGGTAGGATGGTACACCTGTAGAGGATATGGAAGCTCTGTGCCCTTCCCCCATGCCTTCCCCTATGCATCTCTTCCATCTGGCTGTTCCTGAGTTATGTCCTTTTATAATAAACCAGTGATCTAGTAAGTAAACTATTTTCCCAAGTTCTGTGAGCCACTCCAGCAAATTAATGGAACCCGAGGAGGGGATCATGGGAATCTCTGATTTATATTTGGTAGGTCAGGCAATGAACTGAACTTTTGGGTAGTGTCTGGAGTAGGGAAGGGGTGGGAGAGTCGTATAGGACTGAGCCCTTCACCTGTGGGATCTGATGCTAAGTCCTGGGGGATCTTGTCAGAACTGAATTACGTTGGAGGATACTCAGCAGGTGCTGCAGAATTGATGTGGGGAAAGATCCCCAGACATTTGGGGGCCAGAAATGAAGTACTGAGACTAGTGTTGAGAGGAGAGGTATGAGTAGAGAAGGAACACAGAATGGTTTCTCCTTTCCAATGGTAGTGCCTAAACTAGTCCAGAAGTATCAGGGGAAGCTTCCTGATGGAAGTGATCATTAATCTGAGATCAGAAAGATGAATAGTAGCCAGGTGATAAGGAAAGGGAAGAGCCTTCCAAGCAGACAGAGCAATATGTACAAAGGCTTGGAGACCAGAGATTCAGACATGTCCAAGGAACTGAAGGATACTCAGTGTAGCAAACGTGGGTTTGGGAGAGCCAAGAAATGAGTTGGGAAAGGCTTGAAACATGGGAGTGACATGGTCAGATTTGTATTTTAGACAATACTCTCCAGCTAGGTATAGAAAATGCACCATCCAGGGGTAAACTTGGAAGCAGTGAGACCAGAGAAGAGGCTGTTGGAATGTCTAATAGAGAAGCAATAATGCTTGGACTGTAGTGGTAGTAGGCAAAATGGACAGACAAGGATGAAGATGGTGACACTTAGGACTTGGTGATTAATTGGATATGTGGATAGAAAAGGAGGTCTTTTCCTCTGTCTCCCAGAGGAATATTTGATGAAGGAATGGTTGGATGTTCAGGGCTCTAAACAGACTCTGTATCCCCCAAAAAGAAGATATTGGTTGGGTGGATGTGTTCCAGACGTCTTCTGAGACCTTAGGGACTTCTCAGTGATGTTCATTTTCTTAGAGGAGAACCCTGCTCTCTGGCCTGAACTGGTGTTCTTACGAATGCTCTGGTCATGTCCAGTAGCACCAGCCCTGCTCTCTGGCCACAAGGCACCCGCCCCACTGCTGCTGGTCTTACCCAGATCCATAGTGTGCACATCTGAGAAGCTCCTGTTTGGATCTGCTCCCCCAACAATGAAGACCTTCCCTCTCTTGGCGTCACCGACTGGGGGTAAATATGAACAGCTGTGGCCAACCCGAGCACAGGGGCCGTCTCCAGGGGGGGTCAAGGTGTACCTGTCAGAGGGAGGATGTATTCAGGAGACCCGGGCAGCAATGTGTTCTTTCCACTCCTCATGAAATACTCCCCAGATTGAGGGCTCTTATACACACATACACACTAAGTTGTATCCAGCAGAGCGGTATTTTCCCGATTAATAATACTACCTTCCATTTGCACATAACCTTTGACTTTTCAGTTTTGTCACTACTTTTGTCTCACATTAACCTAACGGGGATGCACTGGACTAGTAACTGTCTCCATTGGGTGGGCAGGGAAACTGACAGCCAGAAAAGTTCAGTGGTGTGTCCTGGCACAAGATGGAAGTCATGAGTATGGTTTGTGAATTCAGGCAGACCAGGCGCAGGCCCCAGGTCAGATGCTTTCGAGATGTGTGACCCTTCAGAAGTCATTTAACCTTTCTAAACCTTCCTTAATTTCCTCGTTTGTAAAATGAGGATGGCAGTAGTTCTTACCCAGGAAGGGGAAACAAAGGTCTTGTAACAGTGCAGGAAGAGCTCAGTAAATGGTGGCTAGAGCTTCAGGTGCACTCACATAGGAACCTACTGCCCTAACAGTCTTTAGCCACTAGCCTGAGAGGCACTGTCAAGTAATATTCTCCAGGATGTATTGATTTTAAGAGCTTTCCCAGATTATTTATAACACTTGAGTTGATGGAAGCCAGAGCTAGGACTCTGAAAAAATCAAATATAGGATCCATCCATCCCATTCTCTAAAGTTGTTCTGAACACTGACTCTAAAAACATACTTCAAACTTCCTGGTTGGAAAAGAAAATTCTGTAGCTGTTTTTCAGGACCTGTATCGTTAGACCTCTCTGGCATTTGGTAGTCCTGACTCTTCCTTCCTTCTCAAACCTTTCTCCTTATCTGGTTCCCCACATCCCTTCCTTTTGGTTCTCCACCCATCTTTTTGGCTGCTCTTTTCTGTTTCCTTGCTCTGACTCCACCCCCACCAGCTGTCCCCTGAGCCTCAGTACCCCTGGATTCTCTTCCCTCCTCTACGTTCACTTGCCCTATCAAGTTCATCTGCACTGATGGTTTGTTTCAGTTACCACCCACCTATATATTCATCAGTGATTTCCAAGTCTCTATTTCTTTTCCAGATCCCTCTTCTGATAACCAGATTCACACATCCTATTATCACCTGAATGATTACTAACAATGTACCATGCCTGCTGCTAACTTTGTTACAATCCTGGTTTCCCTTAATCTGCACAAAACCCCTTTGAGGACTATTATCATCACCTGCTTTTTACAGCTGAGTGCCCAAGACTTAGAAAAGTTAAATAACTTATCCAAGAGCACACAGCCACCCAGATACATGGTGAAGAAAACAGAAAGTTCCTGCCTTCAGAGCCCTTACAGATTAGTTGGGAAGAGAAACATTAAACGGATAATTTCACAAATATCCATTTTAATTGTGCTGTAAAGGAGTACAAGGGAAATATTGCATGACAGCATATCATAAGGGGACTTTACCCTATATAAGGAGAGGTGGGAGAAGAAGGTGGTCGAGAAGGCTTCCTGAAGAAGCATCATTTGAACTGAGCTCTGAAGTATGAGTAGAAGTTAGCTGGGCAAAGAGAGGGATGAAAGATGGAGGGAAAGAGTGACCCAGGTAGAGACCAGCACATACAGTACCGGCGTTTGCAGTGCAAGGCATGTTAAAGAAGAGAAAGAGAACAAAGGATGAGTTAGGGTACTTGAGGTTGGAAAGACAGGCAGGGACAGATCGTGTAAGGTCCAATGGGCCATTTTAAGGACTCTGCTTTTTATCTTAAGATCAAAGAGGCACAAGGGGCGCCTGGGTGGTTCAGGTGGTTAAGCATCTGCCTTGGGCTTGGGTGATGATCTCAGGGTCCTGGGGTTGAGCCCTGTGTTGGGCTCCCTGCTCAGTGGGGAGCCTGCTTCTCCCTCTCCCTCTGCCCCTTCCCCCCTCTTCATGTGCTCACACACTCTCTCTCTCTCAAATTAATAAATAAAATCTTAAAAAAAAAATCAGAGAGGCACAAAAGGGTTTTAAACCAGGGAATGCCAGGATCAGATTTATGCTGGCTGGAGAATAAGAGGGGACACTGGGAAGCCAAACTGAAAGACTCTCCTCCAAGGTCCTACAGAAGCACTGCATTCTCCCTGAAGCCTTCTGTGAACCCTGTTTCAGTACTGACCACATTTCCTCACTATCACCCGCTCAGTGCAGCCCATGTGATGCCAAGACTTATCACCTTTGTACCTTCAGCACCTACATAGCAGCTGCCCCTGCCAGGCCAGTGTTAGCTGAATAAAGGGTTGGTTGAGCCAGCGGTCGAGAAACAGTAAGGCCAGTCTAATCCAAATCCACTTCCCTGAAAATCTTAAAAGTGAGTCACAGCTTGAGGGAAGACACAGTGTTAGAGCTGAGGATGCCAGATGGTCAGTGCCTTACTCTTCCTAGCAAATGGATTTTAATAAAATCAACATCTGCTCTGTGATAATTATTGCCCCACTATCTTTCCTCTGAAGACCTTTTCAGACAGTTTGAGTCTAATTACCAGCAACTACAGACAGTTTCATTCCTACCCTTTTTCATAGATGGTCAAATATGTTAGTAAACTACGTAAAATGAAACAAAACTCATGCTTTTCTCTGTCTGACTCCTTCCTTACAGACCATGTTGCTTTCCTGGGCTTGCCTCCAGGCTCCAACACTGGTAGCAGCTTCATGGTGTCCTATGCATAAGAAAGAAAGGTACTTTTTAGACATTTATGATTATCTTCCACCTAAAACAGAACAAATCAGGTCACTTCCTTCCTTAAAAACTTTCCTTTTGATGTGCCACTTTCTAGGGTCCGATTAATTTGAATAAGCATTACCAACCCTTTGATATAAACTTATATTTGGGACGCAAATATAACACAATTTTATTAACACAATTATAGAAGTTTTTGGCTAAAGTTTTCTGTGTGTCTGTGATTTTCAATTAAAAAAATTTTCGGGGGGGTTGGTGCCTGGGTGGCTCAGTAGGTTAAGCGTCTGCCTTCCACTCATGTCATGATCCCGGGGTCCTGGGATCGAGCCCCACATTGGGCTCCCTGCTCAGCAGGGTGTCTGCTTCTCCCTCTCCCTCTGCCTGCCGCTGCCCCTGCTTGTGCGCTCTCTCTCTCTCTCACTCTACCAAATAAATAAAATCTTAAAAAAAATTTTTTTCAGGGGTCATAAAATGTTCATGTTCATCAAAAGATAAAATGTTTTATGTTTTATTTTTTTAAGGTTTATTATTTTTTTTAAAGATTTTATTTATTTATTTGACAGACAGCGAGAGAGGGAACACAAGCAGGGGCAGAGGGAGAGGGAGAAGCAGACTCCCCACTGAGCAGGGAGCAGGACATGGAGCTTGATCCCAGGACCCTAGGATCATGACCTGAGCCGAACGCAGACGCCTAACGACTGAGTTACCCAGGCGGTCCAGGTTTATTTCTTTTAGTAATCTCTGCACCAAACATGGGGCTCGAACTCATGATCCGGAGATCAAGAGTTACATGTTCTTCCAGCTGAGCCAGCCAGGCACCCCAAAAGATAAAATATTTTATTTATTTTTTAAAGATCTATTTGTTGGGGGGGCAGAAGGAGAAGGAGAAAGAGTCTCAAGCTGACTCAGCCTGGAGTCTGATGAGTGGGCTGGATCCTACCACTCCAGGTATCACCACCCCAGCTGGAAACCAATAGTTGAAGGCTTAACGGACTGTGCCACCCAGGCACTCCAAAGAAAATATTTTAAAAGGCTGGGAAATACTGAACTCTGGAATAAACCCTGGCCTCAGCATGACATTGAAAGCCTTCTGGACTTAATCTTCTTCTCAGGAACTCAGCTCCACAGTTTCTTGCTTAGTGAGCTATTCTTGCTATATTTGTTGTTTCTAACATGGCAGGCCCTTTCATATCTTGCATCTTGTGCTACTTCCCCTACCTGAAATGTCCCTTCCCTTCTTGTCAACTAGGAAACTCCCAGTGAACCTCCAAAGCCCAGTTCAAATGTCCCCCGGCTTCTCAGTATAACCTTCCCTGATTTGTTGCTTTTCATTTACATCCTCAAGTTACTTCCTTCTCCCTCTGAAGGGTATCTATCAAGCCACCATCATTGCAGGGATCACCCTGAATGTAATTATCTATTTAAAGGTCTCTAGATTAGATTCTAGACTAAATTCCAACAGAGGTGGGCCTCTCAGATTCATTCAGAGAACCTGCCAATGGGCTCAGCTTAGGGTAAAACTGAGGGATGAGTGAATGAAGAAAGAAAACGGATGAGATTTCTGGGAGCTAAATGGATAAAACCAACCTTTGGCCTAAGCCCCTGGCCGCGGTCCCCAAAACCCAGTGGGGTAAACTTCGCATGGGCAGGGACTTCCTACAGCCACCGCTGCCAGTCCCATCCCCCAGGCCCATCCCCGCGTGGCCCCGATAGAGGATAGGAGTCAGGGTCGGGAGAGCACAGTCTGGTTCCTTTCCGTCAATGTGGCCGGACCGGAGTCCGATCACGCCCTCCCCACGGCTCTCCACCCGGCCCGGGGCCACTACCCTAAGGATGTGACCGCCCCCGCCCAGGATAGCGTGAGACCCACCGCCCGGAGAACCCCAGACCCGGACCGCATTACCTGCGGCAGCTTAGGACAGTCCCGGGCTGTGGCTCCGCCCCCAACATGGGCGGGGCTTGGGCCGTCGCCCCTCCCCCAGACCCGGAAGAGGGCGGTGGCCAACCGCTCTCCTGCTCTCGACTCCCAGGACCCGGCCTCCAGGGCGCGCCCTTGGAACCGGACCGGGAGAGCTCCTCGCGCCGCCCGCCCGGAGAGTCTGCCAGACTGTGCGTGTCTCGGGAACCAAACAGGCCGGCCGTCCCTGGGGCCGGTCCTCCCAAGCGGAGTGAATAAGCCAGGGCTACTTGGAAACGATTTACAAGCGAAACGCCGGGGGTTGGGCGTCCACTTGGACGACCCAAATTCCTTCGGCAGCAGGACTAGGGAGGATATTTTCAGTTCAGCGGCTGTTGGAAATGGTTTTTTGAAAGGGAGAGTAAAAGATGCTTTCCTGGGTGTGAAATCTCCCTGCGCGGTCCTAAGGCCACTTCAACCTTTGGCGCCTTAAACAGCTGACTCATTCCATAATTAGCGTTTGTGACTATGGCAAGGAACTATGCTGAACGAAATGGGGCCCCTGGCTTCCTGGAGTTTACAGTCTAACTTAGAGAGAGATTAAACAGAAAAACAAATAACTAGGTACATTTGCAAAAAGTGCAAGGAATAAAAGCTCATCAGTGAGAGTATTCTTGGGAAAGTTACTTTTCTCTGGGCTTCAGTGTCACCCATCTGGAATACGGAGCTAATAAGATTTCTGTCACAAGGTTATGGTGGGGAATACATGAGCTAATGAATATAAAGTGCTCAGAGTAGCACAGAGTTGGTCTTCTGTAGAGTGTAATGCTATTCCTAGCTATAAATGAAGTTTAGATACAGGTCCTGAGTTAGACTGCTCATTTGACTTACCTTTGGTCTCCATAACCATAGGTTCCCTGCAGCTTTCCTGAAAATGGAGAGGTGGCTCGCCTATGTCTGTGTTCCAGGAACCCCACAATCATTTGGGAAGACGGAGGTCAGTTGTTGTGTCTTAGGATATAGAAGAAAAAGCTAAGGAAAGACCACAGGAGCTCCTCAAGTATAGAGCTATGGTACCCTAGTGGGAACCAGACAGACATGCTTGGGTTCAAATCCAGGCGCCTGGGTGGCTCAGTCGGTTAAGCAACTGCCTTCGGCTCAGGTCATGATCCTGGAGTCCCGGGATCTAGTCCCGCATCAGGCTCCCTGCTCAGCGGGGAGTCTGCTTCTCCCTCTGACCCATCCCCCTCTCATGCTCTCTCTCTCTCATTCTCTCTCTCAAATAAATAAATAAAATCTTTAAAAAAAAATCCAGGCTCCAGCACTAACCATGTAACCCTGACATTTGGCAAGTCCATTAACTTCTCTGAGCCTCAGTTTCCTCATCTCTAGAATGGGGATAGTAATACCTTGAATACCAATTCTTGAAATTATAACAGGAATTTATTGACAAAGTGGAATTTGAGGTCCGCAGCTCTCCTCACTGCTCAGATATCCTCTTTCAAACACCTGGAGTCTTTATGAGTTCCCATATTAATGGAAAAATCTCCATTGCTGTCTGCCACAGAGGATTTTAGGAGTATTCAGTAATTCTGGGGGCGAGTGACTGGGTTGCTCAGTTGGTTAAACATCTGCCTTCAGCTCAGGTTATGATCCCAGGGTCCAGGGATCCAGCCCTGTGTCGGGCTCCCTGCTAAGTGGGGAGCCTGCTTCTCCCTCTTCTCCCTGCTCATGCTCTCTCTTGCTATCCTGTCTGTCTCTCTCAAATAAATAAAATCTTAAAAAAAAAAAAAGGAGTATGCAGTAATTCTGCTCTCCTTCAGGAAAGAAAATGAAGGCTAGGTTGGCTCTGCTGTATGTCCATGCACATCTAGGTGGAGATCTCTGCTCAGACCTGCAGAATGCTCTGATGGACCCTGTGTCTTTTGGCTAGCTCCATTTCAAGATGCCAAACTGGAGTTGTACATAAGAAAGACTGGAAGAGGTTTGTGGGCAAAACAGTGACCAGTTTTCTTTGTAAGACCTATGCTTTATACTATAAATCACATTTCAGAAATTGCTGGAAGGAAATTTTGAGATCTATTTTATTTTATTTTTTAAAGATTTATTTATTTGAGAGAGCGAGAATGAGAGAAAGAGAGTACATGAGAGGGGGGAGGGTCAGAGGGAGAAGCAGGCTCCTTGCTGAGCAGGGAGCCTGATGTGGGACTCGATCCCGGAACTCCGGGATCATGACCTGAGCCGAAGGCAGTCGCTTAACCAACTGAGCCACCCAGGCGCCCGAGATCTATTTTAAAAATGGAAATGGTGACCCAGAGAACTTAAAATGATTAACCTACATAAATGGCAGAACCAGGAGCCTAGATTTCCTCCTTTGCCCAAGGAAGACTAAGAATACATTCCAGTCAGCAAGTTCTGTACAGTTTCCAAAATAAATGACCAATGTGTCTATCACCTCTTCTAAGAGGTCACCCAACACTCTGAAGGATGCTTCCCTTATTTCTCTCTGCTGTGTATATCAAGAGTGAGGTTCACGGAATGAGATGGGGCCACAGAGGGGAGTTTACCAGATGGTTTGGTAATGTGAGGACTGCCACCTGTTTTCGCTGGAAGGGGATACCATCCACTTTCATTACCTACCTGTTCGTTCACTGACTTATCAGCAAGGGAAGCAATGACGCTGATGACCTCTCCCTTTCAAGCATATTATAATTTGTAAAGAACAGTCATGTCCATCTCCTTACTTGCCTTCCTTCCCAGTTCTGAGAAGGTATCTTGAGTAAGATTAATTCCCAGTTACTGAGGTTCAAAGCTGAAAAGTGAATTGCCAGCTTTCTAAAGAGGACTGTAATACTAATCTTAAAAAGTCAAAAACAATAGCATCTTTTCCTCATTTGGAACTTTTTCTCCAAGAAATTTTGAACATGTCATCCTTATACTTTTTTCCCCTAAAATCTTAAATGTGACCTCTTCAGAAAGGCCTTTCCTGTCCACATAATACTAAGAGCTAACATTCACATTGTACTCACTTTGTACATGATATCGTTTAAGCCCTTTCTATATACTAACTCTATTAAACCTCAGTACAGGCCTCTAAGGTAAGTGTTATTCTTATCATCTGCATACAATATGATGACAGTTGTTATCTCCATATAGAAGCTGAGAAAACTGGAGCACAGAAAGGATAAATAACTTTGCCAAAGTCACACTATGGGTAATAGAGCCTGGACTTGAACTCTGGCCATCTAGTGCTAGAGTTTGCACTTTACCTCTACTGTATTGCCAACCTAACGTAGGGCCTCTTTCACTCCATTTTTCTTATAGTACCCCTCTTTCCCTTTTAGGCACTAATTACACTTTGCAGTTAGGATTTGCTCATTTATATGTATTTTGTTGTCTCTGTCAGATTGTAAGCTCCATGAGGACAAGGATCATATCTGTCTCATTCACATTGTAAGTGTTATATAACTATTTGTTGAATAAATGAAGAAATGTACGCTTGTGGGCATCATTAATTCTGCAGCAAACTTTTCAAAATTAATTTTAGGGGTGCCTGTCTGGCTCAGTCTATAGAGCATTTGGTTCTTGATCTTGGGGTTGTGGGTTCAAGCCCCATGTTGGGTGTAGAGATCACTTAAAACTAAAATCTTCAAACAAAATAAAAAAAATTAATTTTGGGGTGCCTGGGTGGCTCAGTCAGTTGGGAGTCTCACTCTTGATTTCTACTGTGGTCGTGATATCAGGGTTGTGAGATTGAGATTTTAAAGATTTTATTTATGAGACTTAAAAGATTTTAGAGTAATCTCCACACTCAATGTGGTGCTCGAACTCACAACCCAGAGATCACGAGTCGCATGCTCCACTGACTGAGCCAGACAGGCATCCCCCAAAATGCACTTTAGAGCAAGAGGATCCAGGCCAGGGTCACTTGAACAACAAATATTATCAAGCACTTGCTACTATCGGATTATATAAGCCTCCTGACTGGTCTCTCATCTGCAACCATTACCTAATAGTCTCATACAGCAGCCGGAGTGATCCTTTTTAAAATGAGTTACACAAGTTACTCCTCTGCTCAAAACCCTGTGGTAACTCCACATTAGATTAAAAGTAAAGACATTCTTTTCTCTCATCCCTTCTCCTCTTGCTCCAGTCACACTAATCTTGCCATTTCCAAGATTCCATTTAGATATGCTTCCATTTTAGGGCCTCTGTGTCAGCCTCTTCCCTCTGATTGCCCTCAAGCATCTGAATGGCTAACTCCCCTACCTCTGTATTGGTTCTTAGAAAGCATCACACCATCTACCTTACACCGCTGCTTTTTTCCTTCTCTCTAGCACTTATCACTTCCTAACATGCTATACAGTTATTATTTTGTGTTCTGCCTCTTCTTCTAGAATGTAGTTACAGATTGAGGATAGGGATCTTTGTCTATTTTGCTTGCTAAATATCCTAAGTGCCTACAACTGTACCTGGCATATAGTTGGTGTTCAATAAATAGCTGTTAAATGAACGACTGTTGAAGTTATACTGACAGGTCCTGTTTTTGTTTTTTTGTTTTTTTGTTTTTTTTGCACTGGGGGTAGAACAAAACACTCCCTGCCCTCATGACACTCACACTGAAGCATATTTAAACCAGGTAGACCCATGTTCTGGTCTCTGCTCCCTTGCCTAGTTCCTTTGAGTTACGGGGCAAGTTACTTAACCTCTCTGAACCTTGCTTTCCTATCAACTGTTATAAATATTAAACGGAAAAACAGCATTTATATAGCATTTAGCATAAGAAACCCTTAATCATTGCGTCCCTTCCTTCCGGGGCTGCAAGATTGGTAGTCTGATGTCTCTGCCACAAGCTTAAGCAAGGTTTTCACAGGGACTTGAAAAGGTGCGAACAGGTTAACTACGGCCAGGCTTACTCAATTTATAACTGAAGATGTTCTGCTGAGAGAATGCTTAAAAGGGTCGAAGTGAGAACCCAAGAAATGGCTAGGGTCATCTACTTTGTTTTTTTGCATCGGAAAAGCCTCGCTGGGCCCACAGAAGTG